ATTAGGTAGACGGAATATGTTCTGATGAGTGTGACACTGAAGCACTTCAAAGGTCCTAAAATATGATAGCATTGGCTTTTTTGTCTGATTTAAAAGTCATGACAAAAGTCTTTATATATTTAGTAAATTCCATGTCTTTCTCCCTCTACTGTATCTTTTTTTAGTAAAATAGGAAGGAATTTCCTGAGACAATTGGGCAAAAGCTTGATGCTAATCCCCTTTCCCTTTTTCAGGATTGTGGGTCCTAATGGAAAGAAATTGCCCAAGATGGAACTAGCAGATTTGCAGAGTTGCAAAATCGGGAAGTATGGAGAAAATTGGGTACAAGGAGAAAAAGTAGAAAATAAAGACAGGTGGGCTGATTTTGCCATTCACCTGCCAGTGAAATTTTATTGCTGCCTAGAGAAACCTCCTGAGGGTGAGGTACATGTAAAACCAACTGACAGTATATGTGGATATTCCTAGTGGGTCTTAGTCACGTGATATATGTGTCTTACTTTGAGTGAAATTCTTTAGAGAATTCAGGAAGTTTTAAAGAAAGGTATCCTATTATGTGTGTGTACATATACTATAATACATATACACACATCCTATACACACACACATATATACTGTAGTATACTGTAGTATATATGGGTATGTATATATAAAATGTATATATATGTATATACTGTAATATATTATGCTATCTTTATCAGTGTTTATTGCTGATAACAGAAACCTCTCTAGTTCAAACACAGTGTGCTTAGTTGTCAACTTCTGGGCATTCACGGAAGGCCCCTTCTGCGTACAAGACGACTGCAAGGGCTGAAGCAGCAGCCTTTAACGCGACTTCCAGGAATCCCTCTGAGAACATCACCACAGAACTGGCCGTCCAGAGGAGCTGCTATCTCTGCTCACAGCCCAGAAGCTAGGTAATCAGGACCATGCTGCCTCGTTGCTAGCTCTAGCTCCGTATTACCGTAGCGACACTGCCCCCGGCAAAATAGAAGCCCCATATCCTGCTGCACCAAACCCTGGGACCTCTGCTATTGCTATTCCAGAAAAATCCAACGTCCCTGACTGTTGGCAGAAATACGACCTCCATCTCATCTGGCTTTCTTAATCTCAAGCAGGCACATCTGTTTGGGGGAAGTTAGGTCACATCTGGAATTCAAGCTGTAAGGGGATTTGGGAAATGTATAGATTTTAGTTTTCTGGGCCCACCAGTGAGCCTAGCACACACATGTGCCACAAATGGGTTACAAGTGTGTCTTGTAACAAGAGGTATCTATTTCCTCAGCCTTCTGGGGAGCCACAAAGGGCTGGGCAGCCAAAGGCCTCTTGGCCAGTAACCTCCTCACCTAATGCTCCCTGGAAGGTAGCCTGAACAGCGTGGGGTCTGATGGTTCACTCAGCTCCTACGGATAAATAATATGGGAGGTGTCAGGCCCTTGCTGCTCTGCTGTGATGCTGTGTGAAGCCAAGAATGCATCCAGTCACCCAGACAGCTTCTAAGAAGCCTGCTGCTGAGTGAGCCACTGAACATCATGGACAAGAAACACGCTAGCTGCTGGGTCATTTCATGGTAAGGTGCAGTCAGGGTTTGGGAAAGGCCAGCTCCTCATAAGTACAGCTCTAGGTAGATGCCCCAAATCTCTGTCTTATGTTTACTTATGTCTATTTGCTAGTTGCAGGGTGACTGCTCTATCAACACACACACACACACACACACACACACACACACTCTATAAATTAGGACTTCACTGTTATTTGTAAATACTTGATATGAAAAAATTCAACTGCATTTGAGATCCACTTGTATTATCACAAAAAAATATCAACATCACATTTGTCAATGACAGAACAAGAAAGCTGTTGGGCTCTAAACATAATTTTTAATTTTTGAATGGTTTTAAAAATAGTTTAAAATTGTTCCATCGGTTACTTATGTAAAGCTTCCTGCCAATGACAACAAAGAATTTGATAAAATATTTTGATCAAGAATTGCATATAGCCATTTCAAGCATACAACTTGGTATTTAATGGTTATGTCTAGAAAGCAAGATCAAGATTCTCATTAAGGAATTTGGAAAAATTAATGTGTTTGGGAATTTAACACAAAGTCAATATTTAAAATCTTCCTTAATACTTAGAATTTTACTGATTTTAGTTCTTAGTACATCATATAAAGAAAATATATTTTTTCTACTAAGCTCCAAATAAACACCAAAATACACTTGCACTTAGTGCTATGAAAGCTGTCATTTTCTTTGTGCACCATGACATAAAAAAGATAAGGCTTGGAATGGAGTAGAATGAGCCAATTTGCAATATATGCCGCAGTGTCACATACACAAGATTTCACAGTAAATGTAAGAAAGTTATTTACTTGCAACACTAACATTCTCAGCAAAGGATAATTCTCCGGGCTGTTTTCCCTTTTAAAATTCAGATATCAAAATTTAACACATGTACCTCCATCAATACCGTTCCACCTCAAAAAACCTGGGAGAAACAATTTTCAGATCATATATGGTCTCCCTTTGTATGCTGCCAAATCTTGTTCACCCTCCTCTGTTCAGCTCTGTACAGCTCTGAAAACCCAACGCAGTGACCCCTTTCCCCTCTGACTTCCTCTTATCTTCTGCTTTGTCATACATCAGATTATCTTTCAACATACAATAATGGTGTCTTATAAACAACTTGAGAGGATCTCTGTGTTAATTTCTTTATCTCCCCCATAGTTCTGGGCATATATTAAACTCTTAGTGGTTATCATTAATTTCTAAAATGCTGTTTGGGAAATCAAACAATAGAAATGGATTGAGATCAGCTAATGATTTGCTTTCTGATTTTAAGTATAATACATATTCATTCTTGAAGTATGAAAAATAAAGTATAAAGAAAAATAAAATTACAATTCTATCAATACTATTCAGAAATACCACTTTCTACATTTTTATCCCTTTTCTGCACCTCTTGCCATTATTTAAAACAAAATTTGAATCCTCGTATATAGAGTCAAGTGTTTGTTTCTACATTTAATAGAATTGTAAAGTTTTCCCCACATCATTAAGTAACTTATGGCACGTCCAGATAATATTTTACAAATATTAAAATGTCTTAGAACAGCACTTCTCAAATTTTCATGAGTATACAAATCACCTGGGATATTGTTAAAATACAGATTCTGGTTCAGTGGGTCTGAGATGGGCTCCAAGAGTCTGCATTCCTAACAACCTCCCAGATGATGCTGATACTGCTAGTCTGTGGACCACATTCTGAGTAGCAAGTGCTTAGAAGATATATATTCCATTAGTGATGAATGCTTAAATAGCTTCCAGTGTTTGGCTCATACACGGTGAAATAGCAAATCAATGGAGTGATAAGTATCCTTACACATATTGTGGGAATAATACAAATATGTATCAAGTGTATACTAAGGGTGCATACAGGCGCAAAGATAATTAAAAATCTAACTCCTGGTCAATGTCAATAGATATTAATATTCTCAAGACTCTGCATGCATACATCTGAAGGGCATTCCACAGTGACAGAGAGCCCATCAGTGGTTTCTAGGGAACAAAGGGAAAGGCAAAAAGGGAGGAAACTTTTAGGGGTGGTGGATGTTCATTATCTTGATTGTGGTGATGTTTTCATGGATATTTTATATATATATATATTTATTTATATATATTATATATATAATCTGTTAAAGCTTATCAAATTGTATGCTTTTAATATATGCAGTTTGTTGTTTGTCAATTATACCTCAATAAACCTATTTTTTTAAATATGGGGGAAAAAGCCACGAAATGTGTTCCAGAAAGGTTGTATTAATTTGCATCCCACCAGCATATGCAAGTGCCTGCCTCACTTCCTTTGTCAGCACTGTAATTCTTAAAGAAAAAAAACCCATGATGCTAATTTAAAAGGCAAAATCTCTCACTTGTTTGAATGTGTGTTTTTGATTACAAGTAGACTGAAATTTTTTCATGTTGATCAGCTCTTCACTCGTTTTTCTTTTGTAATGTGTGTTTATCAACTTATAGGAGCTCTTTATTTAGATATGTCATAAATAAATCACCTATTTTTTTTTCTCTTGGCTAGACGTTTACATTTGTGTATGTGATGTAATTATAACATAAATAGACATTTTAAATAAGTTCAAGAATCAAAAAAACAAAAGCCAATCTTAACACTGCTCAAAACACAAACAAAAAAAGCTCAGTCAGGACACAGAATTAGATAAAAAAAATCAAAAACCTTTTACACCTATTTCTCCCACAAGGTGGCTGACTTATTAGCATAAACTACATCAGAAGCAAGCCATATACATAAACATATCAACCTTATTCCTGTCATGTTCACTATTTTAGTTGATTAATACAGTAAAGCAGGTTAGTTTTATCCTCTTTAAAATGAAGAGTTTGGTACTGAGGTATAACATATTTTGTGATTTGATCAGGAATAGTCAGAATTTGGATTTATAAACTCCCACTTTTTGTTTATTTATTGACCCTAATTGTATTAGAAATGGGTCCATGAAATCAACCTGGGGTTGAGTAGTTTTTGTTTGTTTTGAATCAACTGACTAAATACCAGAAAAGGAGAATATTTACATATTCTCCTGGAGAGGAGAGTAAATCTTTATATTAACAATCCTGAGAAGACATATATATATATATTTTTTTTTAATTTAGGTCTAGCATTACCAAGTGTTGATGAGGATACAGAGCAATGAATTCTTTTTGTTTTTTTTTTGTTTTGTTTTTTTAAATTAATTATTTATTTATTTTTGGTTGTGTTGGGTCTTCGTTTCTGGGCAAGGGCCTTCTCTAGTTGCGGCGAGCGGGGGCCACTCTTTATCGCGGTGCGCGGGCCCCTCACTGTCGCGGCCTCTCTTGTTGCGGAGCACAAGCTCCTGACGCGCAGGCTCAGTAGTTGTGGCACACGGGCCTAGCTGCTCCGCGGCATGTGGGATCTTCCCAGACCAGGGCTCGAACCCGTGTCCCCTGCATTGGCAGGCGGATTCTCAACCACTGCGCCACCAGGGAAGCCCGAGAAGACATATTTTTAAACTGTTTTCCTTCACTCTATACCTGAGTCTCACAAGATATTTTTAGACAACACAGCAATGAAGAATGCTAATACTAGTAATACTGGTAAAAGAGGAATGCTTCTTTATCTGTCATGCCAATTGGTACAAATGCAAGAAAACTAGTTCCTCCAAAAGGTAGTTACAAGTATTCATATATTTGTCCAATCCTTTGAAAATGAGTCATAATTAGCCACCAGAAGAAAGAGATATGCACTTACCATGTAAAGAATGAAAATTTTAGTTTCCTTAATAGAATATTTTCAACTCTTGTTCTGAAGCGTTATAAGGTTAAATCATTTGGTCAAGTATGCAAAACTAGATGACGTCTAACCTGGAACAAAAGTCCAGATTTCCTGAGGTACAAGGTGAAGAGCAGTAGGAGATGAAACGTGGAGATAACGTGGAAATCAATGATGTGGCTGAGGCTCCAGAAAATTCCAATTCTTTGAACTTTTACTTCCTCATCCATAAAATGAGGGAGGTGGATTAAATGACTGATACATTTCCTTCCAGCTCTAACCTTCTCTTAACGTAGGCAACATAAGTTGATAAGACCTGTGACAGATGCAGTCATATTGCTAGAGACCTTTTATTGCCAACCTGGGGTTTCTCGACTACTTTGTTTGTAAGTCCATGTCAGCTCAGGTTCAAACTCTAGCCCTATCCTATTTATGTAGCTTTGATAGTTTATCCTCTTATTAGATAAAAGGAAATAAGGGTCCCAAGAGATTAATAGCAGCTACACCTCAAAGAGTTAAGATAATGAAAAGAGAGAATACATCCCAATACTTAGCAGTGCCTGGCACAGAGTAAGACGTCCGGTAATTGCACGTCTGCATATCTGGGGTACCTTAGTCCATCCAGGATGATATTAACAGAATACCATAGACTGGGTAGCTTATAAACAACAGAAATTTACTTCTCACAAATTAACTGTGGGAGAGGCTCGGAAGTCCAAGGTCAAGGCTCTGGCAGATTCTGTGTCTGGTGAGGGCCCCCCTTCCTGGTTCGGAGATGGTCATCTTCTCACTGTCCTCACATGGAGAAGTGACAGGGGAGCTCTCTGAGGCCTCTTGTACAAGAGCACTAATCCAATGTATGAGGCCTCCACCCTCATGACCTAATCATCTCCCAAAGCTCTGCCTCCAAATACCATCACACTAGGGGTTAGGTTCCAACACAGGACTTGCAGGGATGGGGTGGAGGGGCGGCACAAGCGCTCGGTCTTTCACACGGGGCTAAAACAACACCAACTTATGCGGCACTCAGGTTTCACAAGCGGAACCTGCTGTATCCCCAGTGAGTCAAATACTAGGTAGACAGGCGTGTGACAAACTTGAACAAGTACTTCCACAAAAGGATGAACAAACGTAACTGAAAAATAGCCCTCAGGTCTGGCTCACAAAACAGTTCAGCTATATATTTACTTGAAAAGACTTTGTGAAATGGTGGGAGGGGAAAGGGGAAGAGGGAGAAAGGAATGACCTCACCAATGGCAAGGACTGTGGTGTTAGCAACCCACAACCTATCAATCTTAAGAAATTAGGACTCCTTGCCATCTCTGCACTATCTCATCTGCGTTTCTCTTAGTAAGGTCCACAAACCACTTCTACCTAGAATGCTTGTTACAACTGCAGATACCTGATCCTCACCCATTTTTAACAGGCCACCTCGTTAATTCTTATACATTCTACAATTTGAGACCCTAGCCCAATTGCTTTGTGGCCAGTGCTTGAATGTGGTCCATACCTGAGTCCTAAAACAGCTTAGATTCCAGACCCACATCTGAGGACTGCCCACAGCAACTTACCTGCAACCCATCACAACTAAGAAACCAGTTTTGAATGCATCAAAGCTAATGAGAAACAGTAAAACCTATAGCTCATGAATTTATGAAGTATCTGGGCACTGGAAGGAACAGGTATGACTGCAAAAATGATCCTTCTGGAATTTTCTCAGCATTTTCTAAAGTGCCAGTAAGAATATTTCTTTCATTCTCAACTTTAATTTTAGCAGTGAACTGAAATAACACTTTTTATTATGGTGAGCAGTCAGGTAAGTTCCATCGACAACTGAATTGTAGTCTTTATTAAAGTTATTTTTATAAATTTATGTCTAATAACATTAAAAGGTTGCTTTTTACTTTAACATGTGCTTTGCAAATTTATATCAGCAGTAGAAAGTGCTTCCTGTGAATAGATTTTACTCTTCAAAAATGTGACTGCATCCTTCATCTCTAGTTTTTTCATCTCCCAATTATTGACCTTACCAAAGAAAGAGGAAAATAATCAGTTTGCAAGATGACGACGTATAAAATAAAAGCTAGTTTTGAGATCCAAGGATATTAAAATAACATCAGCCAACCACTTATAATTACGCACATTTTAGAAGTTTAGTAAGACTATGTGCTAGGGTCGAAGAAAGGTCTCACAGTGAAAATTATAAAAAAACTTTAAAGGTCCTCTAAAGGGTGCAAAAGATCCTTTCTTGGGATAATCTTCCTTAGAATATAAATAATAGCCAATATGAAAAAAAAAAGTGTTACAGATTAGCCCATTAAGAGAAATGGGCCATCTTAACCTTGGTAATCCGGGCATGATCCAGTTTTGGATACTAAAGTACCATAACGAAGATTCAAATATTTACATTTCACATTATATGCAGGACCAAATGAGTGGCATTTAGATACATCCTAACATTAACATAAATATACATTTATTCGTATGGTTCTTGCTCCATACAGAGACATCTAGAGAGGCTGTTCGAGAAAAGTTGTGCTCAGAATCAAAGAAAGCATAAGGAGGGAAGAGGAAGAAGCATCCTCTTATAGTCATCCAGCATTTTCTAGTGACAAACATCCTTAACAGCCTCACAATGGCCCATGAAAACAAAGCTTTAATTAACATCTTTTCTTCTCCTGTTCAAGATAACCTAGAAACTGAATATGGTTTCATGTGTCTTAAATTAAAGAAGTACACATATTACTGACATTTTTCACTTGACAAAAATGATTAAAGTTGACTAAATGTAGCACTTATAAAACCCCAAGTAAATAATAGTATCAGCTGAGTATGAGCCAACTCACGTACCAGAAAGGTTCTTTTTCAAAGAAAACAATAACTAAAACACTTATTCCGATACTGCTGAAAATTCATCTAGTCCTAGTAACCAACTTCAACCACAACATTCCCAGCAGAAGGAACATCAGTAACTGAAGACTATTTCACTTGCATTTTTTTCTTACCAAGATCACGTGAAAACCCATTACTTTCAAATGCCGCATTTTCATAGCAAGGAATCCTCTGGGGTGGGTTGAATCCAAACAGTACGTAGATCTAGGAACACAGAGTACAGCTACTCTGAAAACAAAAACACAAAACGTGAGACTAGTTACTAACGAGATGACCATGTACAATCTTGCTGCATCCTTGTTCTTTGGAGATTTCAAAGCTGAGCTCTCCACTTACCACATTCCTCACCATTCCCTCCTGTGTTAGTCCTTCACTTCCTCATTACCTAGACTATGTAGATATTCCAGTATATGAAGACTATTTTAGGAACCACAAGCTTATAAAAATGCTTTATACAAACAGTATCCCTTAACCATCTTTAAGAATGGCTACATTCTCGATGAGGAAAATTTTCAGATATGAAAGCACCCATTTTAGGGCTTTCCTGTGCAGAGCTAATCTCTGATCTAAACATAATTATTTATGCTACTAGAAGCACTGATGTAGATAATACCAAATGGAAGATGCTCTGCTTGTACATATTGTCTCCCAGAGACAGACACATTTAAAAACCAGAATGGGGAGACCAAATACAAAAAAGAAAACACTAAGAGATAGGCAAGACTGTTGAAAAGATAAAATGTATACGTGTAACAAAAATGTGGAAGGTGTAATTTGTCTTTCATTGTTCATGGCCTTTTGGAAAGATTAAGTTCATTGGGGGAGACAAATACATTTGTATCCTTACTGTCTTCTGTCATACTCTGGCTGTTATCTGAGATAAAGTAAGAGAAATTTCATATCTTTAAAGGAACACTGATTCCTCATTTTTTCTCGGTACTTTAGGCTGAGAGCTACTACATTATATTATCATGCCAGAACAGATGAACACCTGAAAAAGAAAAATGATCTTTCAACTGGGTCAGAGAGAAAGCCTCTTTTTGAGGGAAGATGGGTAATAAGTAGAAGGAAGATAGTGGCTGAAAAAGATGGCCAAGGAACAAGCTAGGTGGATTTAGAAAGGCGCAAAAGTTACAGAGCTGTGTATGAGTGGAGAGGGATGAGTAGATAAGGGTTTGAATCCCTACAGACTTTTTCTGTACCTCTCTCTACCATACTTATGTGCATGTGCTACAAAGCAGTAGGGGATATACGTCGCTTGGGGTCAGGATCCGCGTCTGACTCATCTTTGTGTGCCCCACAGGCCCTAACAGAGCCTTTCCACAAAGAATGACTGAACACAGGGTGTGTGCAATATGACCTGATCCAGATGCTTACAAGGCAGAATATTCTCTCAGGGAGTAGCATCAATTTCTCCCAGGAACACCCTCTGTACTGTGTGAGTCAAGGAAACTACTTCTAATTAACTTCAATATGGTTTGATCCATATACAATACAGCTTAATTAAAAAGCTAAAGTTTCTCTACCTTTAGAAAGGTTTGGCGGTAGAGAAAAATATTTTTTGGGTATTTGATTTTAGTAGAAGCCTTCATTCTTTATGATCACTACTGCATTATCTTGTCAAAAATTTACACTGCACTGATGGTTTCAATTATACTAGCATTGTTATATTGAACTGTTTAGCTTTAAAACCTGATTTTTAAAAATTGCCTGTTTCATTAAATGGACAACTCCAATCCACTGTCTTCAACCACAGTGTCCCACATTTATACCTAAGGGGTAGATTAATGGATGAGAAGTCCCTTGGTGCATTACAAGCTCTATACAAATATAAGGTCTTTGTATTGTTACCGCTATTTAACATGAAGTCTTCGAGAATTAAGATTTAAATTTAGAAAGCTCAGCAAATGCGTATGTGTAAACAACCTTTGAATATTTGTAGCAGAAGTTACCACATCCACGTCGGAAAATGGAAGCACTTGGCTCCTGTTAGCATCCATTCTGATTTCAAAATCTGAAAGAAAAAAATTGATACTAATTTTTCAAACATCGCCCCAAGTGATTTTTTGTTTGAAAAGGTATACTACCACTACCAATAATTATAATGGCAGCAGGTAAGCTATACTGAGCTTATTTACCATGTGCCAAATACTAGTCTGGATTTTATATGTATAATCTCATTTGTTGGTCACAGGAACCCTGTGAGGTGGGTACTATTATTATTGCCATTTTACAGATAAGGAAAGAGGCCGGTGAGTGCCTAACACACAGCACTAGTAAGTAGTAGAGTGAAAATCCACACCCAGCAGTCCAGCTCCAGAGCCAATGCTGTACCACACTAGACTGCTGCAGTAAACTCCTTATCTTTTGTCAGAAAAGAAGTAAAACAGAGGAAAATCATATGAAGTCCCATACCGATATAATAATTATGTGGCAACCATACACTTTTTGAGAAGCACCCTTCTCCCAGAAGGCTACTCAGCACCTCGGCAACCTTTGCATGTGGCTGTAATGGCATGGAGGGCAGCTGTGGCAGCACTAAGTGTGTGTCCTTGTGACCAGGAACATCATCAAGTTTTAGACAGGCAGCCAAAACGTGAAGCTTGTGAACGTTCCTCTCCACATCACCTTAAAAAAAAAAAAAAAAAAAGAGAGAAAGAAAATTATAGTTAAGAAAAATATGAATGCTACATTTAAGAAATTGTATTAATGCACCTATAATTCTGATTATTTGCTTCTTATCAGGAGGAATCTCTCTGTGTCTCCCTGGGTCCCACAGTGTGTAGGTCAGTGCCCTGATAATGTTTTAAACTTTAAAATATCTTTCAAGGTGCTTTAGCCTCAACTCTTCACTGAACAGATGGGAAAATGCTCAGGAATGTTAAAATGCCTCCTGATTAAAGGCAAAGTTGGGACTAGATTCCAGGTCTCCTGGGTTCACGGCTGCTTCCTCCATGTTAGACTGCTTGAAAAATCAGCACATGGTGTTCCTTTTCCACACTTCAACTTTGGAATTTCATATTGTTGTTTTTAAAAGGATTTAAAATACTCTATTCCCAGATAATCATCAAATTTTACACATCTAGCCTGATATTGCTTCTCCTTATTTAATAGTAAAGACTGAAAGACAACAATTAATTTGGTTCCAAGAGTAAATAAATTCACTACTTTGGTAACTATTTGGTTTCTTGATCTAACGGCTGTGCCCTCATTACAGGCCATGAGTGACAAAGTGTTTATAGCTGCAAAAGTTGACTTAACTTGGCTTCAAACGTGACACATAAGGATTAGCAGTACAAACAACTCTGATCAAGGCATAAAGAACAACCTGAACATTTAGCCTTTGCACAAGTACATGAAGTGTAAATAAAAAGAACAAGGACGCTGTGTTTCTTATTCTTGCCGTCTATGGGCAGGATCTGTCACTAAAGGAGCCTCCACCGGTTTGCTGGTTTGAAGCACGGCCCTTTGACTTCACCATCATTGGTCCTTTCATCAGGAGCACCCGCTCCACACGTTTTAACTAACACTGCGGCAACTGAGACCCCAATCTGAATCACCTGGTAGCCTGGCGGTACTGCTTTATTTTAGTCACCACCGTGCACTGACATCCTACCTGACGTCAGCAGATCATGGATGATGTCCTTTTGAAGAAGCTGATTAATAGGGGCCAGGGGAAAATGGTTCATCAAGCAAAACGAACACACAGCATTCAACAGGTTTTCAGAAGAGATGTGGTGAAGACTACCAGTCAGAGCACTAGCCATAACTTCTAGGAACCTACAGGGGCAGAAAGGAGAGTCAGCTTTCAAATATGAAGAGTAGACAAGGTCATGGTAGAGCTAGTGAGGTGTCAGAACTGATAGCTTTAAGGGGATAAAACAATCAGGCTTGCAATAAGTCTTCACACATCTTTCAGGTCGGTGACTATCTCATAATAAATACATACACTCAATAAATATTAGCTACTACTATATGTCTTACACAGGGCAAATGTTTATAAGCTTTAACTCATTTAATTCCTATTCAAACTCTGTGGGATAGGTATCATTATTTTCTTCATAATAAAGATGAGTAAACAGGCTAAGCAGGGTCAACTAACTTGTCCAAGAACACACAGCCAGGAAATAGCAGAGACAGCACTGGAATCCAAGTTGTCAGGGTCCAAAGGCTTTTAACCATTGTGCTAGATTTTTTATCAAGAGTAAGTCTTTAAGACCTGGAACTCCACTGCAGTTTTATAATCAATTACAATTCTCTAGCTATTAATACTCTGAGTTAAAAGAACTGCTAGCCTAATCCTACCACACAAGCTAATGTTACGCAGTATAACAAAGCAGCTAAGCACAGAGGAAGAGAGGAAAGATCAAAATTAGGTAAGGTCACGTGTGCAGCGTGGCACCCCTGATAAACGGCACAGATACGCTTTGAACCCAGATCAATTTGACTCTTAGGGCATAAGCTATATATCATTATATAAGAAAAAAGGAAGTATTGATACTTGCAAAGTACTGTGATAGTGTACAGGAAAGAAAGTAGATAGGGTAGCTTTGGGGATAAGGAGAATTTCAGTTAAGTGGAAAAGATGGCAAAAGGGAAGACCACTTGAAACTAACCCCTGAAAGTACATGCCATTCATGCTGTAATAACTAGCGAGGCTGGGGCACAGGCAGAGATGCCCATAGCAGGGCAAGTATGCCCTGAAGTAAGCCCTTGGTACCAATGAGCCATAAAGGGAAATGTCTGAGATCAACTGGGAGGTCCCGTGAGGAGCAGACAGCCGAGTGAGGAACGCTGTGACAGGCTAAGCAGGACTGCTAACAGGTCCTAGAGACAACAGTGAGGCAACACTTACTAAAGGGAGAACTGATGGAGTTTGGAGTATGCAGCAAGAAACAGCGGGGCTGCAGAGGACTGATCTGGAGCCCAGCGGTAATCACCTCCCCAGTCTCCTCGCATCCCACTTCTTATGCTGTTACCTCATGCTTCAGCGACACCAAAATCTGTGTCATTCCCCGCACGTACTCTGCTGTTGCTTTCCTTCCTGACCTGAATACGGAGCCCCTTCTACTCAGAATGGTATTTCCATCGTTAACTGCTCTCTCTCCATCTTTCAAGATCTGCTCAGGTACCAACTCCTCCAGGCAGGATGCTTGGCACCCACGTTGACCCCCCACTTCGCCAGGCTAGCATCCTGGTACATCCCTCCTCTATTCCTATATACACTGTATAAAACTCTATCACTCCAATGTTCATGCTGTATTTAACTGCAGAAAGGATTATGTCTCATTCATTTTTGTCTTAAGTACCTGAGTGCTTGGTACAAGTTTTCCAACTAAATGAACAAATAAACTTAGATGAGGAGGAGGAGAATGTTAATGGAAAAGGAAGAATCAAGAATAATGAGCTAAAAACTCACCAAGTTGTATACATTGAATATGCACAGCATTTTACATGTTGTTATTCATACCTCGATAAAGTGGTTTAAAAAGCTCTAGGGCGCTTTTCAATTATGGAGCAGAGACAGGCTTATTGACAAATAATTGCAGCTATGTGTCAAGGCTCCACCAAAGAGTTATATAAGACATGACAAGCACAGGGGCTGTGATGGAGACAATTAAGGGAAGGCACATGACAAAGCTATGTAAGACATGACAAGCACAGGGGTTCTGATGGAGACAATTAAGGGAAGGCACATGACATGCAGTATGAACTGAGTCTCACAACAGTGGAGAGCACAGTGGGCAGCTGCTTTTCTTGGCCCAGCACTTCTTTGATTACCTGCCCCAAAGAAATGGGCATGTGACCCAAACTTGTTCGATCAGATTTTCTCTTTTGGAAATCTGAATCTTGAGGGAAAACCACAGGGACAAAAGGCTGTTGGAGTCAAGCTACTCGATGGCAAAAAGATGACCAGTGAACCTTGCCACTGAGACCCTCAGAACTGCCCTAGTTTATTCCTCCAAGGCCTCTCTGACTGACACTCTAGTTTTTTTTTTTTAATCTAACAATTACTGTGTCTGGCATTGCCTTAAGAACCTGACACAGATTAACTCATTCAATCCTCATAACAACCCAATACGATTAGAAATAACTCTTTATTTCTCATCCCCATTTTAACAGATGAAGAAACTGAGGCACAGATAAGTAACTTGCCAAAGTTAAGTAGCTAATGAATCGCAGAGCTAAGATTCAAACCTAAGCAAGGTGTCTCCAGGGTCTGCGCTTTTAATCACTCTTCTAACAAATGACATGGTATATGCGTTTCTGGTTTTTAATGAAACTTAGAACTGACCCAGAGAGGAAGGAAAGATGTTCTGGGTGGAAAGAAGATGAAAGAGCACAGCATGTTTGAGGAATTGCTGTGTTTAATAGTAGAAATGCACGGTTGTGGTTAAAATGAAAAGAATAGAAAGCAGTAGTTTGGGACCAAATGAAGAGTTAGGGTCAAAACTAAACTATAAACTCAGGAGCTGAGGGAATAAGCTGGGGGAGAGTTTGAAATGAAAACTCCTATGCTGAATTACCAAATATATTGCAAAGAACAAAGAAACTGGCAAAAGCAAAGCACATATCTTTAGCAAAGATAAAATAAAATTCTGTTTAACTTCATAAATAAGGAATATTATGTTTTATTTCTGGACATGGATGAAGGCCATGGATGGGTTCGCATGTAAGAATTCATTAAGCTTCGTAATCTTTTCTATAAATACGATATGTGGCAATAAAAAAGTAAAAAAAGAACAAGTACATACTCGTGAGTCCAGCATTTGTGGAAGTGACTGAGAGAAGAATACACATGAAGAATAGAGACAAGGCTTTTCACGTTTAGGAAGCCAGGTTCATCTGCTGCTTTCTTCATAAACAAGTCCATCAAACTAACAGGTCGAAAGCCAACGTTTTCAAACAAGATGAGGAGAAAAAGAACCTAAAAAAAGAAAGAATTGAGGGAAAACTTCTTAAGAATTACAGTACGCTATTAGCAATCTTTTAGATCTCAAAATATGTAAACCGCAATAGAATTGTCCTGACTGACCAAATATTCCCTTAAAGGAACAGTTATCTTTTCCTTACAAAATCTCTTCCAGTTATTCTTGAATCAGAGTATCGAGTTAACAATCAACCTCTTTTTATAAGCTGAGAACCAGAGCACAGAACGGTTTCCATATTTCCATCTCATTTAAAACACTTTCCTATATGCTTTTCATACAACAGCTCTGAAAATTACCTTTAAATATACCTCTTCTGAAGTTTTTCAAAATGACCAAGCCAATTTTGAACTGCTCTCCCTTCCAAACCTAGACACTTCCTAGATTCTAAGAGATAACTCAAAAATTTCTATGTTCAGTACTAATTTCTATAACTGAGAATAGAGCTGAAATACGATGATTAAATGTTCCAGTTCACCTCTCATTTCCCTCTTAGTCTTTCTCACAATAAGTACTTCTCTTTCCAAAACAATTTCCATACTAAAGTCAACCTCACCCTCCAAAGTGAACTAAACCAGTGACCTAACATGGTTACCACTACTTAACTACAAAAAGAAGTTTTTACCACCTGCTTCATTTAGATGTTTAATTATTAACACATGCCCTGAATTAAAAGGCTCTTACTCTGGAAGAAACAAGCAAACTTTCCATAAATAGAAAACACACATGATCATTAAGTAATGACAGTTTATTCTTCAAAAAGCATAAGCCTCTCACATCACCTATCTCCATTATTCTAAATCTAATAAAGGAAAAGTAGAAAGACAGAAATAATCCTTAGTATCCAACCAAAGTACCATACAACCTTTTGAAAAACAAATAGAAAAACAAACTTTGGACAATATAATTTTTGTTTTGGAGAGAAAGATGGTCCAGACATTGAATAATATATTAATAGGTAACCCCCAGACAAAAATTATAAGGAGCTAATTTTTCAAGCCGATTTAGCATTGGAATATTTTGGAATCTAAACCACTTTAAAATGATAGAGAAGTTATTTCCAATGCTAAATAAATTAATACGTTTCTTGAAAGTTTCTGAGGCTTACTCTAAACTGTTAACATACTTACTTTTTTCAACTTCCAGATGTCAAAAGTTGTAGCCACATAATCTGCTATTCCCTTAAAAAGATCTATATTGAAGTATTGGAGGTCTCTGCAAGACTGCAATATGCTGATCAATAATCTAAAGGGACACCCATGGATATTACCTTTAAGAATGAGTTAGAGAAACAAGAATCACCAGATGGTTTTGACTGTAGGATCCAAGATACTATATACACAGTACTTTTGTTTCTTTAGAAAAAATAGCACTATATTTTGTTAAAAAAAACAAACACTATAGGCAAAAATAAAATTTAGATCTAACTATATCATCAGATATTTTTCATATAACAGCAAAGTTGTTAAAACAAACAAAACAAATACAGTCCAGAACAGATCGGATGCTACAAATCATATAAGAAAAATTCCCCTTACTTGTGACTATCTTACTGCACTCATTCAAAAGGATAATGGAGCGGTGATTCATGGCGGCCAGTACTGCAAACATGCGCTGGCTATTCAAAACAGAAAATTGGTCTAACTCTTTCAAGGCTTTCATCTAAAGAAAAGTAAACTTAAATTTAATTTATCATTTGTGGCAAAATAAATTAAACTCCTATATTTAAATAAAAAAGGATAAAGTTTGAGCAAAATGACTCGGACAAACAGATATATAGATAAATATACGTAAATATATATACAGATAAAAATAAATCTATTTCTATTATTTCACTTTAGCAAAGTTACATACAAAAGCATAATGTCCTCCTAATAAACTGACTTTAGGAGGTGATAGCAAATCACAAGAAATATTTTTTTCAAATTTTACCCAACAGAGAAAATTCAGAAGGTATTTACCTCCAATTTCCTTTTAAGACCAATCGGTGCATCTTTTCCAATACATTTCATTACAGTTTGTAATGTGAAGACACGTTCTATTTTCCAAACTTGCTGATCAACTAGCATCCTGTCATCAAACACAATAAATACCACAGTCCTAGGATCTTAAAGCCAGGTGAGAAATCGTAAAAGTCATTGGGTCCAAGCTTCTACTTCTAGGCAAGGAATATGAAGCCCAAAGAAATGATCTACCTGCCCAAGAGTGCAAATAGTGAAAGCTCCAGGACCAGCCTAGTATTGTTTTCTCTCACATTATTTTGCTATCTTTATGCATGAACAAATTTCAGGAGATTATACTAAGACATCCTAATGCATAGTCAATGAAAAAGGGAATTAAAAATTATTCTCATCAACCTATGACATTAGATTAGGTGCATCAATTTTATAAGTTGTAAAACAACCTCCTTTTCAAGCTGGGCCAGTGTCATGTGACCTCCACATAGTACCCAATTAAACATTATGAACTGAGTACATGTCAGTTATCCCCCAGCCCACATCAGTACTATGTTTTAAGATAATTTTAGATTTTAATGTTACCCACGCCTTTTATTTTATGGTGGACCCTGAAAGAAGCATTATTTCCAGCTTTACCTGATCCAGAGTCACTATTTTAAGTTTAATAAGGTATTAAAGACCATAACTACTAACAAAGGCTTCCATGCCCCCACTCCAAAAAAGGGAGCTCAACTTTCATCTTCGTTTTTGATTTAAGAGAAACAGAGAAAGGCACCTGAAGAAAGGGTAACAGAGTTCTCACCGCAATCCTGCTCGAAGAACATCCACATTCTTGCATGGCTCCATTGCCTCTAAGATACTTGACAAAACTGAAAGACATTTCTCATCACACTCATTGATACGTTCCTATTGAAATATAATTACAAAAATACCACAGGTGATGAGCTCATAGTGGACTATCTCACCCAAGCAAAACCACTGAACTGATGCTTTCAGCTAAAGGATTAAGTATCAAACCAATAACTCAGAGTCAGTCCACAATAAACAGCATCTTTGGAAAACAAGATGTCATATGTAAGTGAATCTTCCAAATAACTGATACATTCTTTTATGTATCAACCATTTTTTTACATTCTCCATTATCACTGAAAATGATTTGCTATTGATTACCTTCCTCCCCTTCTGAAATAACTTTTATCAAACATTATTTTTACCTCTTCTTGAGACCCAAAGCCATCATGATGACAAGTGCAGTAATATTAGAGCTACAGGACAATTTTCCTACCCCTAAAGAATTTTACAGAGCTGCGCTTACAATTTCCCTATATCCTTTCCTGGGTATCAAACTGCAACCTCAGTTGTGAACCTTCTGATTCACATCTGCTGTCACATTTTACCACCACTACCTGGATCTCAAGAGGAGCCCAGGCTCCATGGATCCTTCTTTCAAATCCTCTGAATTAGGGTACTAATTTAGGTTCTAGAAATGGCCTAATTTAGAAAACGAATAGTAACAACACAGCTTACCTAGTGCTCTACAATTTAATCACAACTAGCTTATACACCTCACAAGAGTACTTGTGATCACATCTGAAAGATGTAAGCTCTTTTGCTAAAATTACAATACACGGCGAACTAGTCACAGAGTCTCAAGTCAGAACCAGATTATGATAAGAAATAGATACTGCTGGAAGGAAAAAAGGTCTCATTCCCATGAGAGGGTTTCCATTAACAATTTATAGCATTCCATCAATACCTACTGTGAAAGAAAAGACCACTTGGCTATGTGTTTGAAGGGCAAACTTCACTGATGACATAGTTCATCCCTAGCTAAAATGTCTTCGCAACGTTCCAACATGTTAGTGAGATACGATTAAACGTACAGTTAACCTGACCCCAAATATCCACTGTCCATTCCTCACCAATGCAGATACTATGCTGATATGAATACCTGTCCAAAATTCATTTAGAGCATCACTGACCAGGTAGAGCGACTTACTGTAATCACTTTTAAATAACTATATAGGGAACACAGTCTACCAAAAAACACGGATGTTCTGCGGTTTAAACACTCACACACGACACACAAATTAGTTCCTGGGCGAGAACACGGAAATCATAGTAATGTAAAAAGTTAAAAACTCTCATATACCTATGAACCCAATTCTTGAATTCTATAGTAGGATAGGATATATATCAGATCATCCTCAGGAAACTCCTGTCTTCAAAAAAAATTATTTAATTATGATCATTGAGTTCAGAAGTCTGAAGAGTCCACTCTTAAAAGGTAAATGATTACTTTCATGAACTCATCTTTTCCTCAGCCAATATGGCATCATTTCAGTGACATCAAACAGGACACTGACTCCTTTGTTTGAAACTAAAATTGGCTCCTTCCTCCATTCCACTTCCCACTCCCACAGTAATCTAAATACAAATTGGAGCACGTTGATGACCTCTGCTTAAAATATTTCACTGGATCCCCATTGCCTACAGGATAAATCCGAACTCCTTAGCCAGGCAGAAAAGGCTCTTCACGATTCATCCCCTTTTTCCCCAACCTCATGCCTTGCCATGACACCCAACCCCTCCTCCTTGACAACCACAGACACAATTTCCTCTCCATTCCCTCAAACTCACAACCCCAGTATTCTGTACCTCCAGCCACAATGAACTACTTTCAGCTCCGCAAACTATTCTCCAGGATTTGAACATATAGTCTTCTCTGCTTGAAACACCATCCCCTTCGCTATCCATCTTCTAAGTGCTGGCCATTTCTTGGACTCAGCTTAGCCATCATCTCCTACTGGGCTTGAATTTTAGCTCTACTATGTCGAGGTATTTCTTCATTCACGCAGCAAATATTTATCAAGTACCTACAGATAGCGACACTAACAGGTATGTGACCTTGGGCAAGTTATTTAACTGCTCTAAGCTTAAATTTCCTAATCGGTAAGATGAAAGTAGCAATACCTACTTTTAAAAACTACACTGAGAATTACATGAGACAATCCTCTTTTCAAACTTTGTACCTATCACTGCTTCAAACAGTAATCCTGTATCCTCCTCTCCCATCACCTCTTCCCATCATGAAGGTGTACTCCTGACTAGGTTTGAAGCCCTTGTAATGCACTCTCTATATTTTTCTTTCATTGCACTGAAAGCTCTACGTGGCCGTTATTTTGTAACTGTATTCCCTATGCTCAGCACCATGCCTACAACACAGTAAATGTATGACTCATCAGATGAACATTGGTTATTTTTGTAATGACCTACAAAATATCTGTTGTCCCCTCTAGGTTATAAGGGCAGGGATCATGTCTTCTATGTCTTTACATCCCTAGTGACAAGTCTAGTAACTGATACATAGTTGACACCCAATAAATATTTACTGTATGAATAAATCAATCCAGTAGCTGTGTGACTTTAGCCAAGTTAACATCACTAAATCTCTTTCCTCATCTGCTAAACTGAGGTAGCATCAACCTTACAGGACTATTGTGAAGATTAAATAAGACAACACAAGAAAAAGGTATAGGTAGTCAATAAATACTAGTTCCCTTCCCTTCTCTCCTTCTTTCAACTACCCAACCTTTCCTTGTATATTTTGTACCTCTCCCCATTTTAGCTTATTCACTATTACTCAACTCCAGAGAAGAAAAATGGGGCAAGCTTTCATAAATTTCTACAGCAAAAAGATCTGGCTAACTTAAGGACTCTAAATCATATAATATCTATGCAGAAACAAATACAAACTACCATCCCAAAGGTAAGTTTCTTTCAAGGAGGCTACATGTCTACGTCCCATCATTCTTTCAAGATATGCTAAACCAAGTAAAAGTATATTTAAGGCTCCTTTTGATTTTACCTGGACCACCCTCAGCAAAGTCTGTACGAGTAGCGTATTCTGAGGGATCCCGAGCTTCACCATAGCATGAAGACTGAACAGCAGGTTGTCGTAGTGCATGATCTTGGCTTCTCTCATAATTTGTTCACACAGCTGGCTAAACATAGGGTGGTTAAACATCAATTGTTTTTCAAAGCGCTTCTGGTCATCAGACATCCGTTTGGCAATTGTCCACATTGCTGAGAAATAGTTACTACTAGGAAATGTAGGTGCTTTTGAAAATATATCTAACACTTCACTCAGGGAATTACACTCCTGAGACAGTTTTCTACAGTTGATCGGGGTTGGTTTTGTTCTCTTGGTGAGAACATCTTCATTGGAAGGCTCATGATGAAAGTTTTTCTTCAATCCATTATCAGAGACAAAGTGTTTTGAGTTAAAGGACAGCCTTCTAGGACAAAGTAGTCTGTCAACTGTAAGGACTGTTGCAGTGCTTATGCCCTTTGTTTGAAAGCCATCACCTCCTGATTTAAAAATTAAGGCATCCTGAAAGAGATATCTAATAGATGACTGCATTCTATTATCAAAGTTACTTAAGAGCTTTCTTGGGTTCCAGTTTGAATAAACAATTTTTGGTCTGCAAAATCCCGAAGGATACAGCCTCACAGTTCTGCCTGTTGGAACTAAAGTACTGAATTGTCTGAGGTTCCATAAAAAGGAACCTGCTCTGTTATTCATTTTCCTAGCCACTGAAACACTTTCAAATGGCTTTAAAGTTGTCAAGATCACACACACACGTCGCTTCTAAATACGAAAGAAAACACATGCCGTCGCTTTCCTGTAGGGGAAGGGGTTATAAGAGAAATAAAAATTAAAGCAAAACTTCTACTTAAAAATATCAAATGCATTTAACAGAGACTAAAGTGAGAACCTAGGGAGACATTAAGATTTCCGTTAAAAAGGTAAAACCATGTTAGCAATATGGGCTTTCCCCATTTCTACCACAATGTGTATATACACAGTCTTAAAGGTGCAAGGCTACTTTGGAAGTAATCGTTGTACAAATAAGGTATTAAAAAAATAAAAAAGGAAGTGGATTTCTGACGGAAAAGTTTTCCTGCTTTCTTTGCAGTAAGGCATTTTATGTTACCACTGCCTTGAAGATGTCGTCAATGAAAAACAAGGGTTTAACTTTGATGGATACTTTTTAACACAAGAATTTAACTACAGGTAAACACGAACTGTTAAGAATAAGGACTTGGACAAGTAGAACGGCTCAGAAGAAGCAGCAAACTAAAGTGATGCACGTGGCCTGCGCTTGTCTGGAGATAACAACCAGACAGTCTCACCAGGTCTCAGAACCGGTGTCAGGGGTCCGTCCTTCCGGAGCTGGACCTCTTAGTATTAACCCACCTCCCTAAACTTACTTCCCGGGCAACTCCTGAGACCTTTCTCTGAAAGGCGAGAATTCTAAAGCGTAGTACGACCACCTGTTCCACCTATGCTCGTCCTCCACTCACCTTAATTCAGAGCCCCCTGGTTACACAGAGGCGCGGCCATACAGCTTCCCCGCGAGCTGAGCGTATCGCGAGATTTTACGGATCCTTCATAGGTCAAAAAGTGTTATGTTCGCGGGAGGTTGGAAATAGTTTACTTGGAGTGAAGAAAGCCTACCGAAAAACTGACTAGTTTTTCTTAGCTGCAGGGAATAGGCACGGGGGAGACCACAGAGCTTTTAATGACAGTGTATAACTGTGTACCCCAACACGCAACCTCTCCAGCTGGGCGCCAGAGCCCGCGCTCAGCTTCAGAGTGCGCCTGCGCCCAGTCCCGAGCGGCGTGGTTGCCTAGAAACGGTGGCGCAGCGGTTCAAGCCCGCGGGTCCTGGCTTCACCATGGCCAAATTCGTACTCGCTGGTGAGTGATCCCCGCGTCCGCCCGCAGATCGCTCAAAACACCGACAGCTACTCTGCTCCTATGACCGCTTGCCGGTGATCTTCTTAACTGGCCTATGTTCTAGCAACTTCAGCCTCTATATGGACCACGCAGGCTTTATTATGCTTTCATTCAAAAATGTATGTTGGGCAGTGACTATACAAAGCACTGCTGGACACAGGGGATACAGTGAGGGGAAAGACACATCCCTGCCTTCGAGGAGCTTTCAGTCTCCTGGGATACAGAAGCATGTAAACAAGTACTTTTGATACAGTGTGATTAATGCAATGAGAGGTATGTGCACAGGGCTCTGGGGGGTGTTACAAGAGCTGATTTGTGAAGGTTTGGAATAGGGAGGACATTCCAGAAAAAGGCACAGAGGCTAGAAGTGTCATGGCCTCTGGATATGGAGGAAGTGCCTGGACCTGGGGCAAGAATGGGATCAGAAGCCAGATCCTTGCACTTCAAGAACACCAAGCAAAGGTGTTTGAACTGTATGCTGAAAGCAATGAGGGGCCATTTAAATTGTTTAAGCAGGAGGGTATCTTAATGAGCTTGCATTTTAGAAAGCCCACCTTGTCAGCAATGGAGGGGACGTACTGGAAATGTCGATTGGCATCCAGAAAACCACCAAAGAGGCTCTTACTGCAGCAGGCTATTGTACCTGCCTCCTTTCCTCTCAGCAAGTTTCTCAAAAGGGTAGACTGCTCTTCTATCTCCAGGTCCGCCTTCCACTCAATCTGGTTTCTACTTCTGCCTCCTTTCAGAAATGGCCCTCACCGAAGTCACCAATGACTTTACAGAAGCTGTCCGGTCCTTGTCTTATTTGACCTCTTTGATGCCTTAACACAATTGTCATCTCCCATCTGCCTGAAAACCTATTTCCTTTGCTCCTTTATTCATTCAGAAGAGTATTTTTGAGAATGTTGCATTTGTGGCAGTGGCAGGGCTGGGATCTATAGGAGCAGGGACAGTGGCAGGGGACCTTTCTTAGGCAAAGACTTCCCAGAAGAAGTGATTTTTTAATCAGGGTCCTGAAAGATGAGTGTTACCTATCGGAGAGGAAATAAGTAGGGAGGAGGAAAGTAAATTAGGCACGGGTAGCGGGGAGTGGGGCTGCAATGAGGAAAGCTAGTTTGGTGATTTTTGAGAGTATGCAATAAGCAGAAAATTGAAAACGATTTAGTAGGATTGGAGCATAGAGTACAAGGAAGAGACTATCATATGTTAAGGCCAGAGTTAGATAATGTATATTCTTGTGAGCCACGTTCAATATTTTTTTAGATGTATTTATTTTTATTTATTTTTGGCTGCGTTGGGTCTTCGTTGCTGTGCGCGGGCTTTCTCTAGTTGCAGCGCGTGGGGACTACTCTTCATTGCAGTGCACGGGCCTCTCATTGTGGTGTCTTCTCTTGTTGCAGAGCACGGGCTCTAGGCACATGGGCTTCAGTAGTTGCGGCACGCAGGCTCAGTAGTTGTGGTGCACAGGCTTAGTTGCTCTGCGGCATGTGGGATCTTCCTGGACTGGGGCTCGAACCCTTGTCTCCTGCACTGGCAGGCGGATTCTTAACCACTGCACCACAAGGGAAGCCCTCAATATTTTAAACTTTATCTAAAGTACATGGAAGGTTTTTGGAAGGAGATACATAATAAAATTTGCATTTTATCTCAGTGTTATTGCTACAATGTGAGAAGAAAAAGACTGGATGCCCAGAGCCCAGTTAGGTACCGTAGTCCAGGAAGGAAATACTGGTGGCCTGGTCTAGGAAGGTGGGCAATGGAAATGCAAAGAAGTGAATGGATTGGAGAGATGTTAGGGAGCAGAATCTATAGAACTAGACATTTGACTAGGTGGAGGAAGAAAGGAAGGGAGAAGAAAGAGTTAAAATTATTCCCAAGCAGTCGTTTGCATAACTGGGTAGATGGGAAGTCATTGAAAAAAAGCAGAAGAGTAGGCTTTATACTCTGGGTACTGTTAATACTCTTAAATAACTGGGTAGATGAACATAAAGAACATAAGAGAAGGAGCAAATTTAGTAGGGGAGTGATGGCAAAATCTGTCATAGACATGCTGAGTGCCTATGAGACATTTAGCAGGAGTTGAAAAAATACAGGACGGTGTAGACATCTAGATAAGGAGATAGTTCTGAACTGGAAATACAGATTTCTACTTGAAACCAAAGGAGTGGAGGAGATTATCCAGGAAGGATCATAGAGTATGAAGATAAGATGCCTTGTAGAATGCTAACCTTTTAATGCATTAATAAAGGAATAGGAACCTAAAAGTCTAATGAGGAGTGGCCAGAGAAGTAGGAAGAAAACCTGAAGAATGCCCCCATCATAGTGGGTATTTCAAGAATTGAAGGGAGACAAATGCTACCAAGGGTCAACAAGAAAAGGATCAAAAAGTATCCATTGGATTTAGTGACATGGAGGTCCATGGTGACCTTCTAGAGAATTATGGGAAAAGCCAGATTGCAGTGGCATGAGAAATCAATGGAAGTGAGGAACTGGGGACGGCAAGTGTAGAGAACTATTTCAAGAACTATTTCAAGTTTTAATAGAAAAGGGCAGGTAGAAGGCAATGACTGAAGGGGCTTTTTGTTTCTCAGGACAGGAGAAACTTAAATATAATGAGTGTATTTTAATTATGATAGAAACAGGCCATTAGAAACAGAGCTAAGATGCTAGAAAAAGGGGATAACCAGTGGAGGTGGAAGAGGGTGGTGTTCAGAGCATAAGTGGTGAGATTGGATCTGGATAAGAGGTAGGATCCCTCTTCCACTGAATAGAAGAAAGAAGGAAAGGATGAATCCAAATGCAGATAGGCTAGTAGGTTTGATGGCAGGAGCTTGGGGGATTTCCCAACTGATGCCTTTTTGTATGATTTGGTTTAGTTTGCGTAAAGTAGAAAGCAGAGTTTTCTGTTGTCTTCTGATAGTACAGAAAAATATTGGAGAGAAGGAGGGGGCTTGAAGGAAGTAGGCAGTTTGGAATGGTAATTGTAGAGACCAGAAGAGAGTGCTGCCATGGGAAACAGAGGGATCTCCAGGAAGAGTTGAGGGTCAGTTGAGACCGGTGACCATGAATTTATAATGGTGCCACTCTGCTTGGTTCTACCATGTTTATCCAGGGGTGCCAAGTACATGAAACCCAGGCACAGAAAAGGCAAGTTACTGGGTTCATTCAGGGTGAGGGGCTTTTACCAGGCTTACTTGCCAGAAGCACAGTGGGGCAAGAGAATTGCAGACATGAACCAGAAGAGTGGTCTGAATTCATGAGTCATGGATTTGAACTAAACAGGGAGGCTAATAGCCAGGGGGAGTTTGAGAGGGGATGATGACTTAGAAGTCACCGGGAGGTTGAAGAACTGGTGAATTGGGAGTAATCGGGGAAGAAGGCTATAGAGAGGGTTCTGCCCTTGGCCCCTGCCCCTCCTACTCTACCGGACATCCAGTCCCACCGACTTTAGTGGCTGTCACTTTCTCTGTGTTTATGCCTGCAAAACCTGTATCCTAAGCTATTACAGAAGGCCTGCTCTTCAGATTTGCAGGTGCAGCTGCCTGCTGGTCATATCCACTTAGATATACTACAGATACTTCCAGCTGCGCTTTATAATTTAAACTTCTCACCCATGATTTCTCTCTAGTAAGGTCAGGATCACCTAGCTACGCCAGAAAAAAGAAGTTAAGCCAGACTCTTCTCTCTCCCTCCACTTCTTCCCCCAATACTCTGCACACATAGCAAGTCCACATGTGATTTTACCACCACTCCTCACTTCACACTTTGCCTTTTAGTAGCTACTAATGAGTAGTTCATTATGAGTAGTTCATGCTTAATTAGTAGCCTGGCAGCCTCTTAGAGGAAGTGAGGTCTAATACAGCACTGGAGGAGAATAAATATTCAATAGTCTTTTTTCCTTTCCACACTTTATTACTAATGATGCTGATCTCCTATGAAATTCATTTTATTTTGCCAATATAATAAAAATCAAAAGTTTATGTTATGGCAGTATATGCTATAGCTCTATATAAATTATATTGTAACTGTGTGATTAATTCTGTAATTATATGACAAATGCTTGTAACTACATGATAATTTCCATGTGATGAAAGAAAATATTGCTAATTTGAATTTTTTAGGTAGAGCAGATTGCCCATATTATGCTAAAGCAGAACTTCTGGCAGATTATTTACAAAAGAACCTTCCTGATTTTCGGATACATAAAATTACACAGCATCCTGATGTTTGGGAGGTAAGAGGCCTTTACAGTTTGTTAAACTCACACACACAGAAAAATGTGTTCTGATTTAATTAAATATTAGCTAGTGTATCAGATAGCTTTCCAGGAATGAATGTTCATGTACTATTGATATTTTGATGTTAGTAAAATCAGTCCTGACTTATCAGCCTCAAAACATTATTTATATTTTTTTCCTAGTACCTAATAGAACAAATGAGGCCCTAACCAGTAAGTAGAATCAATTTGGCTGGTATTTTCCCCCCAAGAATCCACATAGCTTATATTGCACTTTTTTTCTTTTTTTTTTTTTTTTTGTGGCACGCGGGCCTCTCACTGTTGTGGCCTCTCCCGTTGCAGAGCACAGGCTCCGGACGCGCGGGCTCAGTGGCCATGGCTCACGGGCCCAGCCGCTCTGCGGCATGTGGGATCCTCCCGGACCAGGGCACGAACCCGTGTCCCCTGCATCCGCAGGTGGACTCTCAACCACTGCACCACCAGGGAAGCCCGTATATTGCAGTTTTTAACTTTCAATTCTTCTTCATATTGATTTCTAATGACATGAGGGACTTGTTTATTTGACACACCCTTCTTTGGGACTTAGATGGAAATTTGGGGAAGGAGTTTCCTTTACTGGGGAGTGTTCTTGGGAACAACATCCTTAGAAGGAATGAGGGCAGCAGGACTGGGCAATGGGAGAAGTTGAACTGCCATACAGCTCTAACAAAGGGCTCAGCCAGCCCTGCAGGGAACTCTGAAGCTGGGATGGCCCTTCAAAGATACCCCCCCAAACAGGCAAGGAGGCCAGGCTTTTGTCCTCCTGCAGCTAACAGTCAGAGGATGTGGGCTGCCCTGGGGAAGAGACTTAACCTTAGGCAAGGGAACATCCTTTGGCTGAGGTCAGTTTCCAGAGAGAGACTCAGCACTGAGCCATCAACAGCCAATACACCTCGTGGCAGGGGTAATGAGTGCCTTGGTCACGAAGGAGGAATAGGGACTACACGTGACAGGATCTGCTAGTTCACCAGTTGTGCCTTTTGGATCCACATGCTGCATATAATACGTTCACACCATCTGGGAACAGCTCTTCCAGAATTCTGGTTGGCATCTCTCCCTGGGGAAACTTTATAAGAGGAAGTTTAGTTAAGTGAACAATAGTCCCAGCTGCACATCATTTCAGCACTACACATCATTCAGCACCATAACTGACTCATCACCTTTCTTCTCTTCTATCCATTGTAGATTCCCCTCACCCTCTGCTGATTCAGGTGACTTATTAGGTGTGGTGGTGACTTACACCTGTATCCTTAGGGGCCTGAGCCCTCGTCTCTATTCCCTTTTCAGGATATGACTGTTGCACCTGTCCATTTGCTGTCAAAATTAAGCAAGGCACTACCAAGGATGCCCCAATGGATTACCTAGATGCCAACCATTCTTTCCTGCCCACATTGGTAATAGCTGCCCTACGTGCTCCTGATCAACAGGGGCAATTACCCCTTCCATGATGGTAACTCCTCTCCTTACTGGCTGATCTCTTGGCACAGGAGCTCTAAGTGACCATGTGGCAGCCATAGATTAAAGTTTAATGGGACTCTTCCTGATAGAAGCACCCCTCACACTGGGTGGGTCACTGGGAGTGATGGTAAGCAGGGTCACTCTTAATTCCATCCTTGGTTCCTGGATTCATGTATTTGACGTATTGGGGCAAAACTCTATTGATTTGTGGTATATATTGCATCCTGAAAGATGGTACCCCCATCCTTGCAAGGTATCAGTCTCTAAGCTGGTGCCTGCATCTTCAGTGTGTTGTTCTATCCCTCTATCATGCTGCTAGATGTTGCCATATATGATAGGGCCAGTGGGTTTCATGCCCAATGTCATACATCCTTTACTCTAAAATGGGTTTCTTGGTTCAAAGTGATGTTATGCAGGATCCCATGTTGGTAGGTTAAATATTTTGAAAAGTCTTGAACAGGGTGCTGGCCAAAATCCTACAAGCAATAAAGGCAATTCTTTATCTAGAATATATGTTGATTAAAATCAAGGTGAATCACCGCTCTTTCCAGGGTAGAAGGGGTCCAATGTAATCAGATTGCCACCAAGAGGCTGGTTGTTGTCTTTGAGGGATAGTGCCATTAACAGGAGGTCTGCGTTGATCTCTGTTAATGGCAGCAGCAATGGCTAGATCAGCTTTGATGAGTGATAGCTTGTTTTCTCAGACCATTGCATAAGCTCTAACTTTTTCATGTCCCCATTGTGCCTTCAGCTGTCTAAGTTATCTTACTGCTGGGTTGCTTAGTGCTTCTGTCATAATAGATGTTCTCTGGTGGGCACTGCCCCCCGTCCTCTTTTATTTCAGAATTCTATCATCCCAATTGCCATGGGGCCCAGCTCTGTAAGAGCATGTCATTTAACAGCTATGGCCCAGAATTGACAGCCACACCAGGCTTCTCAGTGATGCTGAGACCCCTCTCATCAGTGCATTCCTTGTCACTTTGGTGAATGTAGTGTCCTCCAGGCCCTTCCAGAGAACATAGGTGACCAATAGTTTTCCAGCCTTCTGTCATAGCGTATCCACTCTAGCGAGCCCATTTTTTCTAAGCTTTTTCATCCCTTCTTCCATGGTCTTCCATGACAGTTCTGGCATTTCCATTTTATTTCATCCCTTGCTCCGAGCTCTGAAGAGCCATCCTAGCAACATGTTGGCACTCTCTTCTGAGGTCTTTGTCAGGGTGTACACTCTTGAATAGCAGAAGAGTGATTCATTTTGAGAAATTTTCTCTTGTCCAGCTTTATGTTCCACTCTTGATTCAGCACCCTCAGGGTCCGGTCCTGTACATATTCTTCCAACTCCTGCCAGGACATCACCATGCCCTGCTCGCTGCTGAAGGTCCTTTGAGGTAGAGTCTCTTTCTTCTAGATTCCCAGTATTTCACTGGTCAGGCTACGTTGTGACTAGAGAGGCCATGGGGGAATCATCATGGTGGAAACATCAACGAGGGAAATTCATTTGTAAGGTAGCTTCATGATACATTCCTCCAAAGACAAGAATGTTGCCATGTGCTTTACCCATAGAAATGTTGCACTCTGTCTCTATGCAGGTATTGTCATTGGAAGGCCTGGTGTACACAAACCAGACAATGATGATTTAAACTTTTTCTAGTAAATATTATCAGAAATCCCCAGATGATTTTTAGCTCATTAATTCAATCTAAAAAATATAAACTATACTCACATATTTGGAAAGCAGTATCAATTTATACGGCCCTAAGACCAGAGACATCTCATACACAAGACCATTTGAGTTGGAAAACTCGGCTCCTTTTTTAAGCCAAACCCTTGCACTTCAGGTCTACTCAGGAAAGAGAGCAACATTCAGTACCTTTATTGGGTCGATGAATTCGAAGAATATTCTTTCTTACTTGATTAATTTGTTACTCAACTCATCACTATTTCTATATTTATATTTTACAGTTTAAAGATATCTAAATTTTATTATGTATACACAGAGGTAGTAAAAAAAAAAAAAACTAGTATTTTAACGTTTGAACTCTAAAGCATTGAATTCCAAGGCAGATTCAATGTGCGACTTCTCATGGACTCTCATTCAATAGGAGTGGCTGAAAGAGTTGTGTAAAAAGAATAAGTGGAGTCACAAAAATTCCCCCATCATCTGGAGAGAGCTGTTGGATCGTGGAGGAAAGGGTTTGCTTTTGGGAGGATATAACGAGTTCCTAGAACATGCCCAGGTATACAAATTCAGTTGATTTATCTGTCTAAAACATTATTGTTCTCTCCTATTATTATATTTTTCCAACGTCTTGCTTTCTAAGGTATTCTCTCAGCTCTCTTTTTACTCTATTTGGGCTTTAAACAAGAACTTTCCATTATAGCCATTGTCAGCTATTCTGGTGTTGATTTTTTCTTTCCCAATATTTAGCTTTACTATGGTGTCACCTCTAGCATGACCACTGAGCTGATGAAGACAGCTGCTCAAGAGAACCTGGGGGCACACATAGAAAAAGAGCTGGAGAAAGAAGCCCTGAAAGGTCTCATCAACCCCTTGCAGGTCTGGATCACCAGGTGGGACCGTCAAATCCCAGGATTCGTGAGGTCGGCTTTTTATGTTTAGAAGGACGATGATGTAGGATTAGTTACATGATGGAAGAATATCTGAGTGTCAAGTGTGAGATTTGTATGTATGTATACGAATATTATAGATATGGAATATACGTATATGCCTATATATCCCCTAGTGTAGCCCCATGTATGAGTTTTAGACTATATATAGATTCAATGTGTATGTAATATGCATATAATACACATACATACTAAATCTAAGAGCAACTTTATAGCAAAGGTATTTACTTTGCATGACTGTCTCCAGCTCTCCTGCCCTCATTCTGTGTGTCTCATGCTGTGTGCTGCTCATACGATCCTGCTTGTCGCCTCACTGTCCTTCCTTCCCTCTCCCTTGTTTCCTTCCTTCCCTCCCCCATCTTCCTGACTGTTGCCCCCTTCCTCTTTCCCACTTGCTAGAGTTGTCCTCATCCTTAGCTCTTCCATGTGGCACTCATTCTCTGGAACCTCACCCCCCTCACTCTTACCCCTTCTCACTTTTTCTCGTCACTCTTGCTCTCAGTGGTGGGTGGACACATTCGATGTTTGTCATTGCTTTTTCTCTCTATCTCTGTGCTCTGTCTCTCTCTTTGTCCTTTTGCTGTCCATCTTGTTCTATCTCTCCCTCCCCCTTTCCTTTCCCCACCTCTCAATCTGTCTCTCACACTGCCCTTCTTACTATCTATGTGTGTATCCTAATATACAGGCTCATCTGAAAAATTATTTGTTATTATGAAAGATTTCAAATGCAGAAAAGAACTGAGAATGATGTAATAACCATACATGAACTTTACACCCAGATTTAACAATATTACATCTGCTTTAGAATTTCTTTAATATTTATTTGGCTGCGCTGGGTCTTAGCTGCAGCACGCGGGATCTTTATTTGCGGCATGCGGGCTCCTCCTTGTGGCCTGCGGGACCCAGCTCCCCGACCAGGGATCGAACCAGGGCCCCCTGCATTGGGAGCACAGAGTCCTAACCACTGGACCACCAGGGAAGCCCCTAGATATTTTTAAAGGATTAAAATGGTACAGATGCTCTTGAAAACACCACTGCGCCTCTCTCCAAACCCACTGTGAAAAAATGCCCGGATGCATTTCTAAACTCCCCCTCAGGGGTCATTAGGGCTCTCAGTTATCAGCCAAGCTATGGAGTACTCAAATACTAGCTGAATTGTGGGCGCAGATACATGATACCTCGCCTGTGTTGATCCTAGACTTCTTTATAAGGATTTGGAAAAATAGGCCTTTCTAAAAGATGTCATTACTTTGCAGATAAGGGTACAAAATAGAAAAGAGTTATGGTTAAATGAAACTGATTTCCTTATCTTTTTTTAAAAAGAATATAAACACGTAATTACAGTAACACGTAATTACAGTAATATACAGTAATATGACACAGTTCTTTTAAATTTTGCTTTCTGCCTATTCTGTTTAATTTGAAAAGCCTTATAAACAGGTACATTTCTTACTTTGGTATTGTTTTCAGATGGCCAAAGCAAGAAGTTAGCAGTGAGAATTATTTTGTTCTACTTTTGATTTCTAGCCTTAAAAATGTCTGTGCCGCTGTGTATGCCAATTTAATATATTAAATCACCCTATTAATGCACGTGCAGAAGAATATCTATTAAGAATAAAGCCTGGGGACTTCCCTGGTGGCGCAGTGGTTAAGAATCCGCCTGCCAGTGCAGGGGACACGGGTTCAAGCCCTGGTCCGGGGAGATCCCACATGCCGCGGGACAACTAAGCCCGTGCGCCACAACTACTGAGCCTGCGCTCTAGAGCCCGTGAGCCACAACTTCTGAAGCCCGGTCGCCTAGAGCCCGTGCTCTGCAACAAGAGAAGCCACTGCAATGAGAAGCCCGCACACCACAACGAAGAGGAGCCCCCGCTCGCCGCAACTAGAGAAAGCCCGCGCACAGCAATGAAGACCCAACACAGCCGAAAATAAATAAATTTATTAAAAAAAAAAAAAAAGACTTCTATACATGGTTGATACTTTAAAAAAAAAAAAAAAGAATAAAACCTGAAAAGGAGCAAAAGATTTAACCACTCGTAATCGGCTTTGCATTTTTATTAGTGCATCGGCTCTTGCCTGCTACAACCTAATTCCCATCTTGACAAGTGGTGAAGTGTTTGGACCGCATATGGAAATTAGCATAAACCTATTTGACAACAAGCAGGCAGAAGAGAAACTCACAAGCCTTGTGAAGGAGGCTCAGGACCTGGCGTCGCCCTTCCTGCAGAGTGTGTCCGCCTGCACCCAAGCGGAGGAGGCCTTCCGCCAGGCCCACGTGATCATTTTTCTCGACGACCACGTGGACAAGGAGGTGTACAGTTTGGAAGACTGCATCCGAAGCAAGGCTACTCTGTGCCACCTCTACGGATCCCTGATTGAGAAAAATGCTCATGATTCCGTCAGAATTATTGTGGGAGGAAAAACCTTTGTGAATCTCAAAACGTCTTTGCTTATGAGATACGCCCCAAACTTCGCCCACAATATTATCGCTGTGGCCTTGGGCGTAGAAGGCAAAGCGAAGGCGGCGCTGGCCAGAAAACTGAAAACGACTCCGTCACGTGAGTGAGCTCCTGTTTCCATGTCTGGTTTTAAACAACGTGATTTCACAGCAGCTAGGAAGAACACTGTCCCCTCTAAAATCAGTCGGGATATCTGGACTAGAAAGTATGAAGCAGAGGCCAAGAACTTCTGATTGTGTGACTTCACTACTGTGCGTTTTCTTTCTACTAGCTTTTGTGACTAGCTGATCTTTTCCCACAATTCTAAAATTTAAGAAAAAATATTTAAATAATAAGATTTCTATTTTTCAAGTAGTAATTTGAAACTTAATATTCCTTTTTTTTTTTTTTTTTCCGTCAACCAATGTAATCGGTGTTTTTTAAAAAAATACTCAGGGCTCTGTTAAAGTGACCCCACCCCACTTCCCACCTGTGTGACTTGGGGCAAATCACTTAACCTTGCTGTGTCTGGCTTCCTCACCTGTAAAATGAGGATGTAAATAGCACCTACATCCTAGAATTGATGCAAGGATTTAAAGAGATAATGTTTCTAAAGTGCTTGGAGGAGTGCCCGACACAAGCTAAACATTTGCAAGGATAGTAAACTTGTTAAGGTGATTATGCTATCTGATCAGTTTCTGCTTCTAATAATCTTTGTACTTATAGAGGTCAAAATCATAGGAGGATGAGACAGAATCAGAAAATGGATTTTTGTATCTAAAGGGGGAGTGCTGTATCTAAAAATATTTGTCATGTTTGACAGACTTTAGCTATTTGTGCCCTTAGATGGAGCAGGTGCAACGAAGTCCATTTAGAATGCCAGGAAGTGCAAGACATGACATCAAGCAAAATTGGGAAGACAGTGAAATGTGAGCCTAGAATGCTCCCAGTCAGAGCTATAAGGGACTTCGGTGAGCCCCTAACACATTAGGGCAAAGCCCTAGGACCATAACTTCTGGTATTCTTGCATACAAATCATTAGTGTCTTACCCCCAGGGTCACTGCATACCTCAGCCAAATGGGTACTAAAATTATTCAGTAGGAAAACATTTCCTAATCATTTTATCTCTGTTATCAACCTTATATGTATATGTGTAGATACTGATTTCTCACAAAAGGTCTATGATACACTGATGAAAGTGGCAAGAAGAGGCAGTGTTACAAAATTTAAAACAGGGCAGGCACTTTCAACCAGAAAGCTGCTCTCTTGTGGGTCTGGTGGTACCATAACTTCTAAACCCTGCTGTATTCAAAGCCAATAAGCACAGGAGCAGCAGAAAAAAGAAAAGTGGAGACAAGTTGGGACAAAAAAGGGAAATGTTAGAGGGATGGCTGTTAAAGTGGAATTGTCAGTGGAGTAGTAAGGAGGAAGTTGGCAACGACAAAGACAGAGTTAAACAAAGTAACATGAACTAGAAAAACCATCAGGGAGAATTATTCCAGGAGAATTCCAGATGCCAAGAGGGGAGCAGACCTTTTCAGGATATCCCTTGAGTTCAGTTCACACATAAACCTGTTTCTCAGACTATGTACATTGGCTTAGTTGGAACTCTTTCTGTACAAGTGACAGAAAGTCCACTCAAAGCGACCAGAGTCAGAGCTTTTTTTCCAAATAACTGAAGAGTGCAGGAGTAGTTCTTATTTGGGGCATAGCCGGATGCTGGGGTTCAAGTGATGAAGTCAGGCCTGGTTTGTGCTCTCACCTGGCTCATCACTCAGCTCTGTTTTCCTCAGCTTTGCTCTGATTCTCGGATAGGCTTTCTCTAAACAGTGGCAAAACGGCTACCGGCATCATAGCTTAACTACCCCAGTAGGAAAAGAGCGTTCTCTCTCGATTCTTTGTATAAAAGTAGCAGAATAAGATCTCATTGACTGGGCTTGGACCACATGCCCTCCTCCAAGTCAGTGTGGCCAGAAATCTGGAATCTAGGTCTGATGCCTATCGATAGACCTGAGAGGTAAGGACAGCTTCACCCAAACCAAATGGACTGAAATTGGGGAAGGGTACCTATTTAAAGAAAGGCCAGTATGCTGTTAAAGAAAAAAAGGAGGAAGAGATGTTAGGACCAAAAAAAAAAAAAAAAAAAAAAAAAAAAGGTCTGCTATAATTTTCTCTAGCTTGATTTAAGGCATTTAGAGCTATAAAGGGCCTTAAAGCTTTAAGAAAAATTCTTTTCCCTCCTGCCTGCCTTTGAACACAACTCTGTAAGAGTGTGATACTTGGAGCTGCTGCAGTCTTTTTAGGACCATGAGGGGAAGGCCAAGAGAGTAACATCTTCGAGCTGCTTAACAAGCCCCTGTGTCACTGCCTACCTCGACTTGTTATCTGAGAAAAGTAAACTCCTTCTAGTTAAGCCAGGTCAGAAGGATATTCTTTTACTTGAAGCCAACAGCAATCTTATCTCATACAGAACAGGAAAGAATTTAATCACCGTAATAGAAAGTGGTATGACCTTTTAAGAGAATTAAGTTTTTAAACAAATAAATAAGTTTATAAATAAATCAATAAAATCCCCTATTTTCACTTCAGATACATTCCCAGAAAATCCACAATTATTAGAGAGAATTATTAGAGAGAATTTCATATATTAGAATCATATGAAATACCAATTCCTATTTCTCTCTACCCCCATCCTCTTCTTTTCTTGGTAGTATGTATCACGTTGTATAGTAGTTGTTTTCTCACCCACTCCCCTCTACCCCCAGAATATTGCAAGGATTTGGGCTGATTTGTTTTCTTCTGAGCCTCCCACCTAAAAGTGCCTCACACATACAAGCTAATTCAATATATCTTCTTTGATTAAGATGTTCCTCGGGGTCCTCTTATTCCAGCACCTCCATTCTGCAGGAAACGAAATCCACCCAGGGAGTCAAGTGACTTGCCCAAATTTCTATTCCAGTCTAAAATCAGGGACTCTCTGTCAGAATCAAAGCAGATAAAAAATCCTCTTCATGGCAAGCAGAGTGGTGAAGTTAGGACCAGAGCGGGGGTATAATTTTCAGTAGCGCTTTCTTTCAGGGAGCATTTCAGTGTTCCCTGAAGTCAGTCCTATGCTCACGCCATCCACTTGCATTATTAGGAATGGCCAGACTCTGATGATTAAGGAGATGATCCACATTGTTTGCACATTTTTAGGGAGCATAAACTTAAGTCTGTCTTATAGCAAAAGGACCAATTGTAAAACAAACACACAAACAGAAAGTAGACTACAGTCAATTTTTTATATTACGTTATTTTTTTAAATTTCTTTTCTTCACAGGCATCAAAGATGTGATAATTTGGGGTAATATTAGTGGAAATAACTACGTCGATCTGAGAAAAGCCAAGGTTTACAGATATGAGAGTGCTGTTTGGGGACCTCCTCACTATTCACGCCCTGTTTTAAGCCTGATTTTTGATAGGTACAGTATCTTTTTAAGTGAAATAGTCTAACAATATTGAATAAACGTGTAATGTTATTATAATCATTTAAAAATCATCTTAGAAATCAGTGTGCAGAAGTAACTGTTCACACTCATCCTCATTTATGCTTTCTATTGAAGAAATGTAGAGAATTCCACAGAATTTCAACTAGTCTGTCCCCACCCCCAATTTATTTGATTTTGGAATTTTGAATTTTTATATTTCAGATTATCCTTAAAGTGGCTCAAAGATGCCATTAATGTTATCACTAAAGCAAACATATGTAAAGTGAATCTTATTTAAGGTAAAGACCTCTGTCCAAGTTGAAATTAGTTGAAAAAGCTTCGAGAGTAAGGAATTATAATGGTGAGCAGGCCCAGGCCATGCTGGGTGTTGGGTTCCAGGAAAGGCAGAATTGAGACGTGGTAAGGGACACCATCTCTGGAGCCAAGCCACCTGGGTTGGAATTCTCATTCAGCCACTCATTAGCTGTGTGACTTTAGAGAAGTTACTTAACGTCTCTGTGCCTTGGTTTTTCCATCTGCCAAGTGGAAATGGTAACAGAGTGCGGGTCTTATAGGGTCATTGGGAAGATGAAATGGGTTAAGACAGGCAAAGCACTTAGAAACTGTGCCTGTCACAGTCAACACCACCATTACGAAAAGGGCATGGAAGGAGGAAGGAGGAGGAATGCCTTTGGAACAAGTTTTGAAACTTTGCAGCACTTTCCCAGTGGTAGCATGTCCCTTCCATCACCTCTTTCTTCCCTTCCCTTCCTTTACCCACACCTAGAAATTGTGTCCCTGGACTCATTGTCTTGCATTGCTGTGTGGGTGCGGGCAGCATCTCCTGGAGCTGTATCGTGCCGGCTTAGCAAGGGCAGCTGTTTCATGCTTTTTCTAGTCCAGCTGGACTGTTCCCCGAGTTTAAACTTCAGATTAGAAAACTTAATTATTTCTTTAGTTCTCAATGTGAATAATTCAACATTTCATGATACTATTTTATTTAAAATGAAGGATAATACTGGTTCCAAGATAGCCTCTATGGAGAATAAATTCTTTGTGATGAAATTAATTGTTCTTGCAGCCTTTGGCCACTTTTCTGTTTTCCATATTTATGGTATCAAGTTTTTAGTTTGAAACTTTAGGACTCCTTTCTGCTCTGTTTCATTACTTTTCAGTTGACTCTTTATGGGATTAAAGAAGTTTGAAGAAGGGGCACAGGAAGTCATATTTCTGTTTTGTGGAGGTGATTTCTTGTACTCAGATCCATTGATCCAGGGAACATTCTTATTCATTCCTATTCCCTCCATTGTAAAATTGTTTCTTTCTCTCCTTACAGTGACTGGGTAAACAGAGAATTTGTGGAAAGTCTTAAAAAGTTCACCGCCACAGGAAGACAATTTGGGGGCATCTTAGCTGCACACAGTATAGCCACTACGTTGAAATACTGGTACCATGGCTCACCCCCTGGGGAGATTGTGTCTTTAGGGGTACTGAGTGAAGGTAAATCTGGGTTTTTCATATCTTACGATATTTTAAAACCTCCATGTATGCCTTGTGCTCCTACTTCTGTGTCCTTACCTAGACAGGCTCCTATCTCTTTTTTTTTTTTTTAAATGGTACAGTTACTTTTTAATTTTATTTATTTATTTACTTTTGGCTGTGTTGGGTCTTCGTTTCTGTGCGAGGGCTTTCTCTAGTTGTGGCAAACGGGGGCCACTCTTCATCGCGGTGCGTGGGCCTCTCACTATCGCGGCCTCTCTTGTTGCGGAGCACAGGCTCCAGACGCGCAGGCTCAGTAGTTGTGGCTCACGGGCCTAGTTGCTCCGCGGCCTGTGGGATCTTCCCAGACCGGGGCACGAACCCGTGTCCCCTGCATTAGCAGGCAGATTCTCAACCACTGCGCCACCAGGGAAGCCCGCTCCTACCTCTTTAAAGGCTCTGTAAGCTCTCTGGATTTTCACAATTCCATAATCATTCATTCATGCCTGCATTCCTTCAGTTATCCATTCAGCAGTGCAACAGTATTTTGTGTGCATGCACTGGGAACACACATAGGGAGTAGGCCCGGCTTTTGCGTTTCAGGAAGCTCACAGCAGAGTAAAGGAGAGCCACATGCATAAATGAAATAATTCTGTTAAGTTTTTCTCACTGTATCCCTACTGAGGAAGCGAAAGCAAGGTCAGTTTTCAGCAGGCAGCAGGAAGAATCAGGACCTGCATCATAAAGGAGGTGACACTTCAGGAAGTCTCACCTGCAAGCTTGAGTAGTTGTTTACCTGACAGACAAGTATGGGAAGAACATCTGGGCACAGGAGCTGCAGGAGCAAAGACACAGACCCACGATACAAAGGGCACAGCAAGACCCAGATCTCAGAGTACCAGGCAGCAGCGGGAATGTGGAAAGCTTGCTCTCCATCCACAAATACTGTGGATATATTTTTATATCCTTAGTATTTTAATCTGCTAAAAGCTATTCAGAGCACTTCTACTATTTATTGAAAAATAGGAAAGAGAGAATAGCTGATGCTCTGTGCACTGAAGACCTAAAGCATGTCTTCCCTTTGTGCTTTAACATTCTCCCTGAACAAGCCCATCCATTCCCATCTCAGCCTTGCTGCTGAGCCTTACCTTGTCAAACATTGCCACCTGGATGTCATGCTGTCACTTCAAACCAACACACACCAAACTGAACCTGTTGTCATCCTCCCCAGTCTGATCCACCTCTTGTATCCTTTATGTTATTAATGGAACCACGATCCTTCCCATTGTTACAGTGACTATGGTGCAGCTCACGGAAATCTCCCTAAACCCCCCAAGTCAGAATTAATCTCTGCCTCTCCTCTGTACTCACATAGCATTTGTTCCTCTATCAGAGAGCATATCACAGCCTGCCTTTATGGATGGGGTGGTTAGTTGCATATGCCCTCTGCATTAGAGTCCACCCACCCTGAGGGCAGGGCTTTGGCTGGGTCTACTTGTTGCTCCTTCATGGGTAGACTCTCAATGTGTCTTGTTCAATTAAAGTTAATGTGCACGAACATCTGCAAGTGTGAGTTCAAATCACTGTGTTACCTTTTTAGTGAAATAGACACCTAAAACCTCATCTTTATCTGTAAAAGTTTAATTAGGGAATTCCCTGGCTGTCCAGTGGTTAGTATTCCCCGCTTCTACTGTTCGATTCCTGGTCAGGGAACTAAGATCCTGCAAGCCACGCGGTGCAGCCAAAAAAAAGTTGAATTAATCTCTGTAGGAATTCATCAATAAGCAGTTCAGTGTTGGGGGCAAGTGAGGTGAAGAGCAAGTGATCATTGTGTCCCTGAAATGGTAACACATATGTAGACCCTCATCCGTTGTTCACTCATAAGGCTGGCTCTCAAATAGAGAGTGAACAGAGGGCCTGGGACATCCTCTACGGAAAAGTCTTTTAGATCCTGGTTTCTTGACTCTCCTCAATATTTTGCCCTAGTGACAACATTTTTTTTTTAATTGAAATATAGTTGATTGACAATGTCATGTTAGTTTCAGGTGTACAGTTCAGTGATTCAGTTATATATATATATATATTCTTTTTCAGATTCTTTTCCCTTGTAGGTTATTACAAAATATTAAGTATAGTTCCCTGTGTTATACAGTAGGTCCTTGTTGGTTATTTATTTTACGTATTTTAGAGTATATATGTTAATCCCATCCTCCTAATTTAGCCCCCCCTTTCCCTTTGGTAACCGTGAGTTTTCTATGTCTGTGCGTCTATTTCTGTTTCATAAATAAGTTCATCTGTATCTTTTTTTTTCAGATTCCACATATAAGTGATATCATATGGTATTTGTCTTTGTCTTATTTCACTTAGTATGATAATCTCTAGGTCCATCCATGTTGCTGCAAGTGGCAATATTTCATTCCTTTTTATGGCTGAGTAATATTCCATTGTATAAAAGTAATACATGTTCTTTATCTGTTCATCTGTCAATGGATATTTAGGTTGCTTCCATGTCTTGGCTACTGTAAATAGTGCTACAGTGAATATTGGGGTGCATATATCTTTGCAAATTAGAATTTTCTTCAGATATATGCCCAGGAGTGGGATTGCAGGATCATATGGTAACTGTTTTTTGTTTTTTAAGGAACCTCCATACTGACAACATTTTTGGTGACTAGAATGGCAAGAATAATTTTCTTATTTGATTGAGACACAGAAAACGGGAGGCATTTTATCTGAAGGTTGCTCAGTTAGTGATAAGCATTATCCATTTTTTTTATTTGGAGCACATTTCAACTGGGAACTAGAAACTGTGAGATCACCGACTTTCCCTTCCCACTGCCTGCCCCTTGGCTCTGTGACTGCAGTAGTAGGCTGGAAGAGCAAAGGCAAGATTGGACACGTGCTGGGGCTCAGGGGCTACCTAGGGGGGCAAGGAAAAGCCAAGGAAGCAGACAAAAGGAATCCAGACAAGGTGGAAGAGAAGGACTGCATTAGTTCCCAAGGCAGAGGCAGGGCATCTGAACCCAGCAGGGACAAAAGGGATAAAGATGGAACAATGGTTCTTCCTTCTGAGAGAAACACAGAAGGGCAAGTTGTCAGAACTTGGAGAGGTGCTCAATAAATACTTCTCTAGTAAGTGTTTCAATCTTCCCTGGGGAGGAATTTGCAGAAATTCCTCCATTATCATTAAATCCACCATTATCATTAAAAAGCATGTACTATGTCTGTCCTTATCTACAGTGTTACCAGGAAGGTTTATTTATCTGAGTGCTTTCGTTTTGCTTTGCTTTGTGTTTGCTCCCTGCAGGCCAGTTTGGTATTCCTGAAGGGATTGTCTTTTCTATGCCTGTGAAATTCGAGAATGGAACTTGGGTGGTTCTTACAGATCTCGAAGATATTGAAATAAGTGAACAAATAATGACCCGAATGACAAGTGATCTAATTCAGGTAATGTCAGAATAGCTCGGAAGGAACTGACTTCAATAATAGCCCGAAACCGATACCCCTAGATCAACGCATACACTGATTTTCTGTGGGTTCGATTTGCCTCTTATTCCTAAGAACAATAAGGAGGCAATAGAGGTTTGAAGAAATCAGCAGAAGAACACTCCTCATTTGGTTATGTAATTTCTAGTATGTTAAAAACAGTTGTTGGTTACTTAAACGTCAAGAATCAGTGTTTTTCTATTAAAGAATGATCGTTAGTAATTGTGGTCATTTAATTCTCTGATTACAAAATTTTTCCACAGGAGAAACTTGTTGCACTTGGAGAGTTGATAAATTTTCAGCCGTATCAATCAGGTAATCTTTTAGATATGATGTTTTACTGGGCTGCTATTAAAAGAGTATTAAAATATATGTTAAAATGGAATCACTATTTAATATAAATAAGTATAATTCATATTTCATCACTTTTAAGGTAACTTATTGACAAAATAAACTACCAGGTTTAGTGTGTCCTTTGAAATAAAGTTTCTTAAAAGAATGCTAAAGAAATCACATCCTAAAGACACTATTGCCTTATAAAGTTTATGTATACCATATGTATTAGTTTCCTAGGGCTGCCATAACAAATTACCACAAACTGGGTGGGTTAAAACAACAGAAATTTATTGTCTCCTAGTCCTGGAGACCAGAAGACCTAAATCAATGTGTCAGCAAGGCCATGTTCCCTCAGAAGGCTCTAGGGAAGAATCCCTTCCGTGCCTCTTCTAGCTTCTGGTGGCAGTGATTGGCATTCTTGGCCTGTAGCTGCTTCATTCCAGTCTCAGCCACGGTCCTCACAAGTCTGTCTTCCCTCTGGGTGTGTCTATGTTGCCAAATCTCTCTCTCTTTACAAGAACACCAGTAATTGCTTTGGGGGCCCACCTTAATCCAGTCTGACCCCATCCTAACTTGATTATATCTGCTAAAACTAATTTCAAGTAAGGTCACATTTACTGAGACCAGGGAGCAGGACTTCAACATTTTTGGGGGGGACACAATACAACCCACAACACTACAGTTACTTTTAGGTAACTTTAAAAAAATAAATTTCAATAAGCTTGTTTTTCCTATTGGTATTTTCTCTAATTGTAAACTTACAAGGAAGTGGTCTCATCTTTCTTTCTTTTGTCTTAAAGAAAATCTCATCTGAAATATGAAAATACAAACATAAATAAATTAATTCACTTACAGAAAGGCACTCAAGTGCCTTTTGAGAGCCCATCATCCCTTCCACGTACCGGTGTTTATGGAGTGTCAACTGTAAGCCAGTGCTAAGAGCTAGAAATATGGGGGTGGTGAAGATAGACCTGTTCTTGCCTTTTGAAACCTACAGTCCATCAGGGGATCGTAATTTACACAAATGTCTGCAGCTGTGGTGAGTCTTAGGCACGAGAAGTACAGGGTGCTCTGCTATGAGAGCTTATACCTGGGGATGTGAGCAAAGACCTTGAGGCAGGAAATCATGTCACCTTGTTTGAAAAACCACCAAAAATAGTTTGTGTGGCCAAAGCCTAATGAGATGAAGCTGAGAGAGACATGAAGGGTAGATGAGAGGTGCAGAGGCTTCTGGATGGAGAATGACCCAATCGGGTTGTGATTAGTTTGGAAAATAAATTGGAACAAGGCTAGACTGTTTGCAGGCAGACCAGTATCAGGAGGGTAGCAGAGTGACACAAGGAAGCGGTGATTACAGCTGAGGCTGGAGGCTGTAGAATTTTGAGAGATATTTAGGAGGTGGAATTGTCAAAGACTTGATGACGGACTGGCTCTGGGGAATGTCAGAGGACTCAGACTTCGTTTGCTTGAGCAATGGGGTGGGTTTACCAATATGGGAAATAATAGTAGAGGAAATTATCTGAGAAAGACAGAGAGAGAGAGAGAGTGTGTGTGTTTGCCTATGCGTGTGTCTGTTGGGTGGCAGAGGACGGGTGCACTGCCAGAGTAGAGGAAGGATTAGTTTAGTTTCTTACATTTTGATTCTGAAATACCTACAGGATATCTCAAATGGATACATTACATAGAGAACTGCATACTTTCTGGAGCTCAGCAAGATCTGGACTGCAGTTAATCAAATTGGGAGTTGTTGCCTATAAATAGGAATGAGGCCATGAGCATGATGGAGATTGGAGAGAGCAGGGGTGCCTGGAGGAACTTAGCCTTTAATGGTTAAGTAGAACAGGAACAGCTGACAGAGGACTGTGAAAAAGGGGTGATCAGTCAGGACAGCCCCTGAAATCTGACACCATGGAAGACCTAAAGGCGGAGAGTGTTTCAGGAATGAGGGCTGGTCTACACTGTCAGATGCTACGAGGGGGTCAAGTAAAATGAGGCCTGAAACGTACCCAATGGATGTAGGACACAGAGGTCATTTGTGACTTTGATTAGAGAAATTTTGTGGACTGAGGAAGGCAGAAGTGAGACCAGAGTGGGAGGGGAGGACCCCAGCTCCCTGTGGAGCTGGGGTGCTTAGTGCTGCGGGCCTGAGGAACATGCTGGGTGCTGAGAACAATGAGAAGGGCCCCCATCAGGATTTTCACACAATAGAAGGGCTTTCTGAAGGAGGTGACATCTAAACCAAGTCATGAGAGGAAGGAAGACATTAGCTAAGGTGGGGATAAATGGGAGGGTTGGTTCATTCAGAGGGAGCAACAAGGCGTCCAAAGGTAAAGACATAAGGCAGAACTTTCTGTGAACCGCCAATTCATTTTATCTGGAAAATAAAATTTGAAGTGAGAAATGTCAGGAGGTGGAGAGGTTACTTATCTTGTTAAAACCAGTGAAGGATTTTAGGCAGGGGAGGGACAGGAGCAAGTTCAAATTTTGAAATGATCATTCTGTTCTTAATGAGAAGAATGAATTGGATGGGAGAGAGCAAAAGTAGTAAGACCAATCTTTTTGCAGGTAGAGAAATGATGAGGGCCCTAACCAAGAAGTGGCCATGAAGATGTAGAGAAGGGGCTAGATTTGAAGATATGAAGTTGACAGAACTTGACCAATCTGAGATAGAGGCTAAGAGAGAGCTCCGGAGGGTCAAGAATGTCCCAATGTTTTTGGCATCTCGACATATGGTGGTGTCATTCCCTAAGACAGCAGTTCCCAAACCATCAGCCACAAATGGGTTGGGGGTGTGGAGCTAATGGTCCCCTTAGCTCCACAGACTGAGTATGGGGCAGCTGGAGTCCCCAGGCTGGTTACCTCTATTGTCCTTGACATTTGCTGTGTGTGCTAAGTCATGAAAATGATTGGGAAGCTGTGGGCAAGGTAAGGAATATAGAAGGAGCAGATTTTCAAGAGGAATTTATGTCCAGTGGGTGAGGGACACATATCTCTGGAAGCCAGCAGAGAGATTTGGGCTGGAGATGAGGCTGCGCAGTCATCGGCAACTAGGTGCTGGTTTTTTAGAAGAAGCTGGTAACCATGGTGATCCTGTGGGGAAGGGCCTGAGTGGCTGGGGAAGGAAGACTTCTTCACTGCATGGTCTCTCGTGGCTTTTGAATTTCATTCCAGGTGCATGTTTGACACATTCAAAAATATAAATAAGTGGAGAGATAGATATCTGGATGGATGGGTGTTAACGTTTAACTACCATTGGAGAGTGAGAGGGTGAGATGGAGGGGCGGGAGGAGAAAGATCATTAAGACAGCAGTAGAAAACAAGCTTCAGAGCACAGGGTCAGCTTCACACAGGAAGCGTCTCTGCTGCTGAGACCTAAGAGAAGGGAAGCGGTGATGGATGGGATGCAGGGAATTATGTCGGATGGGGGGATTCAGAACAAAATGGGCAGCAAGGCCAGGTCCCAAAGATTAAAAACTAGGGGAAGGGCTAGAGTTATAAGGGAAGAGGTGAAGATTTGAAATAATTTGTTAAGAGGAAAGGAAAGAAAAATGGAAAAAGCCAGATTTTTTTTTTCAGAGCTGAAGGCTCAGTGGAATTTAGAGACCGTGAAATTTGTAGTAACTCCAATGTACAGTTGCGTGATTCCCTGCAAAGGTGCTCGGCTGCCTGGATGCAGGAGAGGAAACCTAGATGTATGATCTGTAGTAAGCCCTGAAATATTAGAGAGTACTGCCACCCCTGCAATTAGAATAAATGCAATTAGAATAAAACTAACACTGTACAGTATTCCAACAAAATTCTGAGTATTTCCATGATGACTTCATTTGGAATATCAAATTTTTTTCCCAAAGTTTTTATTGTTCTCATATTTTTTTGTGTCCTTGTTTTACTGGTGCCCTAAATGAGTGCTGAGGTGATTTGCTCATTGGCTCTGAATATGGGAATGGAAAATGAGTACGGTTTTGTTACTTTACTTAGCATCTGGGAAGGAAGCAGGTGAGGCAGTGAAGATGAGGACAATTTCAAGGAAGCCGATGAAGTGATGGACTACAGGGGTCTCCACTGGACAAGGAAGGACGTAATAAATAGAAATAAAATTTAAAAGCCCCAGGCAGGGGTGATATTGAAAATATTTAACAATCAGTATGGCGCAGATGACAACCAATTAAAGCAGTTGCTGTCTCTCAGAATGGATTAACTGAAAAGAAGCTGGCAGGGGACAGAGGACTGCCCTTGGTCAGACGCAAGAGGCTTTAGTGAGGTCACAGCACCAGCAGTGGGAGGAAGGGCAGAGCGTGGGGTTTGGGAATTGAGAGCCGGTTGTGGCTGGTGGTCAAGTCACCAGGCGTGGGCCAAACCAAACAAAGCCCCAAGGCAGCATGGAGGTGGAGCGGGTGGGCACAGAAGTCCAATGACCAGTTGGTTTTACCTCGAGTTATTCCCAGAATTTAAGGCCCTCTCCTCCTGCCTAGCAGACTAGAGTTGCAAACTCCTCTTATGATAATGAGCTTTAAGGCAGTCACTCTAAACTTGACTCCATTGACTGGTAGGTAGTCCTAAATTTCCCATAACACTTGCACTGCAGATGGTTTTGTGAAAGAAAATGACCTGATTTTACGCTGTGTTTTATTAACAAAAGTCAAGGCATGCATATATATATATATATATTCATTCATTGATCTTAACTCTGTCACCATTGGACCTCGCCCAAAACACTGTTCCAGAGATTCCAAGCTCAGAGCATTGAAAATAATCAGAACTTTGTAGAGTTTGGAGATCTCTGCTTATTACCATATCAATGAGATGATTCATGTATGAGGTTTGTTTAATCTTTTCAATTAATTTAATTTCCTGACTTTTAGAAACCGACTTAGCCAAAGAAGATGAAAAGACCACCTTACCTACCACAAATGACAACCGGGAGCATTGCAAAGTCTCAGATGGTAGGTATATCACTTGAAAAAAAAAAAGTACCCTTTGTATCCAAGGCTTAATACTAAATTTCAAAGAAAGGAGTTTGATCATTTATTAGCCATAAAAAATGAGAGTTAAGTCTTTCATCACCTTTATCCTATATTCAAAAAAGAAAAATCATTGTTAAAAATCTATTGAAATCTTTGAAGGATGGTACCAGACATTCACTGAGCACCTTCTAGATGCTGGTCACTGTGAGAGACACCGGGACCCACAGTAAGGGAGTTGTGGCCACACAATCACATCTGGGGGAAAGGAGCCATGAGAATATGAGAAAGTAAATGCGAAGACACACAATAAATTAAAAAGCTTGATGAAACAGGGCAAGGTAGTACACAAGGAAAGAAAGTATATAATCTAGAAACTCACGAGGAAAGAAAAGATCCTTGTGATGTATGAAGGGAAAACTTTAATAATATCTAGAAATCTAGTTGAGACTTAAGATGGCTAAAAATAATCCAATAGCATGTATTTATTTATTCAGAAGCTGTGCTGGTTCAGTCACACAAGATGAAAAAATTCTAGAGATCTGCTGTACAATGATGTGCCTATGGTTAACAGTTTTGTACTGTAGATGTAAAATTTTGTGAAGAAGGTAGATTTCATGTTATATGTTTTTACCACCATTGAAAGAAGAAACTGTGAGAGGTGCTAGGGACATAAACATACATTGAACGTTGTCCTTGCCCTCAAAGTGCTCACCATCTAGCGTGGGTGACTGCAAAGCAAAGCGAAAACTACCTTATGGAGAGGTAAGTGTTATGATAGAGGGTATAGTGGGACCACATAGGGGGTCTCCTGACATAAAGAGTATTAGGAAAGGCTTTCGGGAAGAGATGAAATGGAAGCTGAGTCTAGGAGGAGTAGGAATTACTCATGTAATTTGGTGAAGAGGAGGTGTGCAAGTAGAGGGGCAGGTAGGGAAGAGGTTGTGAAAGGTGTCCCACCAGAAGGAAAAACAGGGGCAAAGCAGGCATTTCAGGGGATCAAGGCATGGCCAGAAGTGTGAACCAGAGGCAGCATCAAATTATATTCAGAAGATGATAAGTAGGGCAGCTGTGCTAGAGTAGGGAATCCAAAAAGGATGAAGAAAGCTGGAAAAGGTAGGTAGAGTCCATCCGTTGTTTGGCTGAATAGTTGGCTCAGCAACATAGCTGGTGTCTGGACAAAACATGAAATCGATGGGGGCACGCTTAGAGAGCTAATCTAGCTTCATCACTGACCCTCCGGAAGATGCTCAAGCAGCCCAAATCACTATCCAGAGGAGCGTGGTGAATTCAGTTCCAGCCAGAATACATATCTTTAAGAGGCCCAGTCAGACAGTGTATCTGGGTACCTGGGTGGCAGCACCATTATTCTAGTCGGCCCAGCTGGTGATAAGCAACACTCATGGGAAGGAGGGAGGGCACTATGGCCCCCGTGAGAGAACTGAGAAAAAGCTATATCGTCTCTCATGAAGGGAATGACCGGCAGCTTCCCAGGATGGAGGAAGAAAAGCCAGATTGTCGAGTATGTATTCCCAAGTCTTTGCAACAGAGCGATTTAAGTTGGTCATTCAAATTTTAAGGCTCTTAGGCTTAACGAATTCATAATCTTAAAGAACTTTAGTGGTAATTAAGTGAAGAAAATGGGGTTGATTTCAGGTTGTCGTGAGGGCTGTTTATTCAATGAGCATTGGAATCAAATGTAACGAGATACAGTGCTTTCCATATTGTGGGTTAGGTGAGTTGTGAAAAAAATTTAGTGGGTCATGAAATGGATTTAATAACTGGCGTTTTTCCTTGAACTAGAATAAAATTGATGCTAAAAGGGTAAGTAAGGAGAGCAGATTTTTTTTCCAATGAATGAGAATAGGATAGAAATAAAAAGATAAGTATTAGAAAAGATAAGAGAAGGATAAGAATAGATTAGAAAAGGGTGAGTATCTCGTTCATTTAACTTTTTGTTTCATTATATGCACACAAGTGAAGGTACTGGACTGGAACGTAAAATGTATTTTTTTTTTTACACTGGGTTTTGGTCAACAAAGTTTGAAAAGCACTCACAAAGAACATCTCATGGGCTGTTAGTTATATTCTAAACCACCATGTTTTATCTAATATTAGTTTCAGAATATAAAGATTTGTTTTCTGATCTAATGCCAGATGATGAAAAAGATCTAATTTTGTCAGATGGTAAGTCTGTCAAGTGATAAGCAATCTGCGTGGTGCTAATGGTCATGACACACATCGTCCAGTCTTAGAGAATGACCCTGTGGTCAGAGAACACAGTCCAGAAACCGAAGTAATTTTGAAATAACTCTGTTTCTTTTATTCATAAACACTTTGAAGGAGGGATAAAAGATGGAAGCAAATTTTTTTTAATGCTGAAATTGCTTCCATGTCATACTCACCTCAAACTCTCCCCAATAAGTTCAGCTCCAGCCTCTATGTCTCATCCTTCTCACCTTTTCTTCTCAATCCTTCATTACAAAGCTCAAAATAGCTGACATGGCAAGTCAGGATCCTCCTCAGAATGTGGGTGAAAGGAAGACCCTGACAAGTCCAAGTTAGAATTCTCTTTAACAGGGAAAACCTGGGAATTTTTATACATGCATACATATATGTATCTTGTATATATTTGTATATAGGCTTATATATTTTCTAAATCTGCCTATACGACCTGTATATCTAGAAGATAATAATAATCTAGTCTGTTTCCATCTTTACTACTTCTTTACTTAAAACTCTGTGTACAGGAGGGAGCTGGCAAACACTGAAACATTGCCAGTGATTTATCTTGTGGGGAGCAAGGTTTCACAGGGAAGTTGGTAGAAAGATGCTACACTGAGCCGTTTGGCTAGACACCCGTTTGCCCCTGACAGTGGCTTATCCATGATGCCATATAGAAGTGATCTGGCATCTTGCAACTTTCAAAGAGGACAAGGCATTCAGAGAAACTTGGAGTAGAAGGAAAAAGGAAAAAATGAAAATAACTGCAAAACTCAGTGTCCTTTAAATACTAAAAAAACTCCGTTCTTTTAATTCTCTATATACTGCAGTAGATTTTTTAGATCTGATTCCTCAAACCAGCTCTGAAAAGTCACGAAGTCAAGAACACACACATGGTAGCTGGTAGACAAACATTAATGTTAAAAGGTGGTCTTTCGGGCTTCCCTGGTGGCACAGTGGTTGAGAGTCCGCCTGCCGATGCAGGGGACATTGGTTCGTGCCCCGGTCCGGGAAGATCCCACATGCCGTGGAGCGCCTGGGCCCATGAGCCATGGCCACTGAGCCTGCGCATCCAGAGCCTGTGCTCCATGACGGGAGAGGCCACAGCAGTGAGAGGCCCGCGTACCGCAAAAAAAAAAAAAAAGTTGGACTTTCCTTTTATAAATGGAACTGGGTAGAAGAGGTCAACTGTCCCTATGATATGATTCTTCTCAAACCCTCCGTGTTCCCACATCCCCAGAAATTCAGCCATGTTTGCTGATTCTCTAGAGCTTAACTTCCTACTTTTATATTTGACAGTGACAACCGAATCCTCCCCTCAGAATGAGTAAGTGAGGAAATGGACATAAATATATCTGCAGGTCCAGATTTTCAAAGATCATAATTGAGTTGTCATGATATTTTATGCAAACAAGGCAGATGTAGGTTTCTTTGTGGTTGACCAGTCAGGATATTCACCCATGGCTCCACACTTTCATTTAAATATCCAATAAGATTAATATTTCCATTGCACCTTCCAGTCTGAAAATGTGCAGTGTGATGGGCCTTGGCGTGGGGCTAGCTATGGGAAATTAGAATTGGTGCATAGAGGAAAAGTAGGACCAAAAGAGGAAACGGAACTGACAATATAGCTGCTAAAAAATTTCAAAATGAGAAGCAAAGGAGCCAAGAGAGATGGCACATAGACATAGATTAAGGTCAGGAAAGTGGCCAGAATTTCGTTTTGATACGAAACTGTCTAATGATGATCATGTGGTTTGATTCCCCTCATAGGATCCTTCTCACACATGCACTCCCTCAGCTATTGAATCAGATTGAATACAGGAATCCAGTAAACAGAAGGAAAAGGGTAGCCAAAGAAAAGCTAATAAAAACATGTTACTAACATATTTTTAAAATAGTTACATTGTTTCCTTTCCTTCCTTTTACAGATTCTGAAGGCAAAACTATGGAACAGTAGCAGATCCAATTAGATCAACTATAAAATTATTTGGTAGTGTAATAAATATGGAAAGACCCATGAATGTCTGTATTTAGAGAAGAATAATTCGAAAGGTTTACTGCAGTCTTGGATTACATTATGTGAGACAATTAAATAACAGTGACAGCACACACACAAAAAGTCAGAGTTCAGTCATTTTCTGTTACTTGTATCCATTTATATGTTTGCTTATTATTGCACTCTCTCTAAATAGTTTGGTGTTAACTGCTGCTTTTTAAACTACACTAAAATAAAATTGAAAAAAAAAATTGTCAGTCATTGCATCCTTGCCCACACATCCTTCTGAGAGAACCTGTTTCTCCCGCAGGCCATACCTAAGACATGGGCCTAGGTGGCCATGTTTGCTCAGATGTCCTTACCACCTTGACCTCAGCTGATTGGGCCAGAATGGATACACCTGACTCAAGGAGAACCAATCAGAGTTTTCTCTTGCTCTCTCGAAAGATTTGAACTGAGAAAAAATGAGTAAGTTGGTGTCTGAGTGATGGTAATGGTAGCGAACAAGAGAAGGCCACCAAGTTCTGCCTGTGAGGTCTTCAGAGCCCGTCAGGTTTACCGCCTTCATAAGAACCGGCTGTGTATTGCTTTTCCTTGGATTTGCTTTTAGTTTAGTCTATATTGAGTAGATTTCTGTTTCTTGACACCATATGTAGCCTGAGTAAATGGAATTTTAAAAGAAAAGCGTAATATTTTACCTTATAATTGCATGGTTTAAGAAGAAAATTACAGTATTTTATTAAAGTAGTAGGAGTCATACCCATCTGCTCATATATTTCGAGCTAATAAGACCGTTTACAAAGGCCAGTTAGGAACTTTTGAAAGACCAGGAGTGATGTTAAAAATTGCCGATACCTGTGCTTTCTCTGTAGTTTTTTTTTTTTTTTTTTTCATAATTCTTTATTTTTGGCTGTGTTGGGTCTTCGTTTCTGTGCGAGGGCTTTCTCCAGTTGCGGCAAGCGGGGGCCACTCTTCATCGCGGTGCGCGGGCCTCTCACTATCGCGGCCTCTCTTGTTGCAGAGCACAGGCTCCAGACACGCAGGCTCAGTAGTTGTGGCTCATGGGCCTAGTTGCTCCGCGGCATGTGGGATCTTCCCGGACCAGGATTCGAACCCTTGTGCCCTGCATTGGCAGGTGGATTCTCAACCACTGAGCCACCAGGGGAGCCCCTCTCTGTAGTTTTAAATGGTGTTTCAGGTACAAGTTACTTTCTGAAAATTCAGGGAGCTTTCAGATGCTTCTGCATTGCTTCTATACCATCATAATAAAATGGATGATTTTAAAACCATGACTAACTTTGGCTTATTTCTGAAGTCAGCACCTCATTTATTATGAAGAAAACTTAAGGACTTCAGGTGAGGTTTTGTGCCCTAATCCTACCACTTCCTCTGCCCCTTCTTGTGGGGCTCTCAACCAAAGGGGTGAGACCACAAAGAACAGTAACTGGAGGGGAAATCCCCCGGTGCTCTACAACACACAGTGGGGCATGTGGCAGTTGCCCGTCAGCACACAGGGCTTCTTCACGGTAAAATTGAACTCGATTAGAACGTGTGACTCAGACTAAGAAACTCGAGCAAAGCCTCCTGTTCCATTCCCCTGGAGTCAGCTATGCCCATCAGTTATCAGCCAGAACAAAGAGGAAAAGTCTGAACAGAGAATACAACCATGAACACAATCACCTTTCAATCCAGTAGCCCTGCCCTTTAGTGAGACTCTTCCCAGTGGGTGTCAGGCCCTGACCAATCAGATAATCGCTGCTTCTCCAATAGCTGGACATCTAGGAAGGGGTTAGAGAGAGACATGGGCAGAGTTTCTCCTCTCTAGGGACACTGTAGGAAATATTCAGCCCCATCCCCAGCAGGCTGTACTTCCCAGTATGAATCTGAACAATCGCTTGTTTGAACCACTATGGGATGACCAGGATGGTCCAGGATAGACTCCCATAGGAGAAGAGAACAAAGTGATTTTAACCACTATACCTACTACCATACATGTGTCCAAAATTAATTAATAAAAGATATGGAATTATACGTGCTTGCTATTTGTTGAAAAATAATGAGGGTGCCATTTCAAAAATAATATCTTTCAGATAATTACTATTTTGTTTTTGTTTGTTTGTTCATTTTTCAGCTGATACACTAGCTCTCACAGTAGCTTATTATTTGTAATGACCCAACTTGGGAAATCTCAAATCTGGTCTTCCCATTAGGAGTAACTTTAATGTGAGATTATTAAAAAATAATTTCTCCATGTTATTAAAACTGTCATGATAAAGGCATGAGGGAAGAATATTCAGTAGAACTTTTAGAATATGACAGAGAAAGGAATTAAATGAATAAAGTAATTACTTTATTGGTCACTGAAATATAGGTTAAGTGTACATATCCTGTGACTGTAGCAGGCACTCTTAGTTGCCCTCCCTACAGCCCTGCTCCCATTCTCTTGACTAACAGAACTCTGATTTTGTTGGGATGGGCAATGGGCCCAACTCTAGGCCATGAATCTTGATAGATCTTAGCTAGTCCCATTTGCCAGTGATTGGTCTAGGGGCAGACATGTGACCCAGTTTTGTGCAGTGATACGTAAGGAGGAATCGTCTTCCAGTGGGGATGTGTGTATGTGTGAGAGAGAGAGGGTGTGGAAGGCAGAGAGAAAGAGGGAATGAATGAATGAATGAATGGTATGCAAGGAGAAATCACTTTGACTTCCACCTACTTCCTTCCTGCTTAAAATGCTTCTCTACCCGGACCTAATGCTTGCAGCTTGGGCAGCCATTTTGTGGCCATGAGGTGAGACATCACCAGCAGGGTGCCACCAGGAGAGTGGCAGTGTAGAAGTATAGAAAAAGCCTGGTGCCTGAGCCCAACGCCTCAATGACTTCAAAGAGCCTCTGAGCCAACCCTGGACCACCTTCAGAATTCCTGTCCAATAAACAACAAATAACTTTATGGTTTAAGCCCCTGTGAGTTGTGGTTTCTGTTACTTACATCCAACAAGTACATACTTATATATATGCCCATATATACTTACAGCCAAAAGCTACATAACTTGATCGAGAAATATCTTTCACTTTTTTATTGTCATTTGTTCTAGTGGAATGAATCAGAAATATATTTAGATAATTTAGACAATTCTCCCACTCAGTCAGGTTCAAAACCTGTATTGACTTTCATATTTTTTTATATTTTAATTTCTTTTTTATTTTATTTTTTTTATTGAAGTACAGTTGATTTACAATGTGTTAGTTTCAGGTGTACAGCAAAGTGATTCAGTTATACATATATGCATATATATATTCTTTTTCAGATTCTTTTCCCTTAGAGGTTATTAAAAAATATTGAATATAGTTCCCTGTGCTATACAGTAAGTCCTTGTTGGTTATCTATCTTATGTATTATGGTGTGTATATGCTTTCATGTTTTTAATAGTCAATTCCAGTGAGTAAATGTCATCAGCCTAGCTCAGTGGACAAGTGGTTTTCAGCATCAGCATGAATCGGAATCACCTGTTAAAAACAGACTGCTGTGCCCCATCTCCAGAGTTTCTGATTCAGCAGGTCTTATGTGGGGCCTGAGAACTTGCATTCTTCACAAGTTCCCAGGGGACACTGATGCTGCTGATCTGCGGACCACACTTTCACAACCACTGCTCCAGCCAATGGGAGGTCACCTCCTAAGTCAGCTACCTCCCCAATTCCCTTTATCCACATCTACAGTCTTGGTACTTTAGTCTGAATTTCACTTTCTGACATCAGGATTCCAACACAATTACCAGCGTGTTGTTTTAGGACTTCTTAATGTCATCCAAACTGGTTCACCACAATCCTGTGAGCCTTAGGTTTGCTGCCCCACCACATTTGCATAGACCATTTGCCCCGCCTAGAATCTTATCTCACTGAAGCTACTTTAGGTCTGACACAGTGGGGTGACCTTCCCTCTGTTGGCCAGATCATTTCTTTTTATATCAGAGAGATGAAAATTGTGGGATTCCAACAGACAGAAATAAGTTAAAGAGCCTTTTCCTCCCTCTACTCCTACCAGGTGGGAAATGTCATATATAACCTTCATTTGCTCCTTTCTTGGCCTTAACATGAGCATCTTTACGTCTAAAAATGGTCCTGGCCCAGAGCTGCACGCTTACTCATTCTGCAGAGGACACAGAAAGGTTACCCAAGCTTACAGCTGAGCTGCTGGAAGCAAAACCCGTAACCCTCCCAAGCCTGAGCAGCTGCTCTGCGCCTTAGATTAATTTCTTCTGGGCAGAAATTATAAGCCCTCAGGAATCTCTAATCACAAGTTTCTCATTTGGTCCAAGGAAGCATGGTTTCTATACAAAGGGGCCATAAGCAAGGGTTTTGCAGAGCCACGGTTTCCTCCTTCCATGTAGGTACACTACCTATCTCAATCTCAGGGAAAGTGGCCCCAGGCCCGAGTGTCTCTTGCCCAAGAACAGCATGCAGCAGTCACACTCGAGTAATGCCATCAAGTCAAGTTTACACCCACAGCCCCCAGAAGTTACTGCGATGACTGAAGAATCCCAGGATGTGTCTGTAGTTCTCATACAGACTTCACCTATCAGCAGTGTTTGACATGGTGGATCATTTCCTTCTCTCGGTTACACTTACCTTCCAGCGCACAGCACTCTCTTGGTTTTCTTCCTAATTCATCCCCATGAGGTGTCCCACTTTTTCTGTTTCCTTTGCTGGTTCCTCCTCTTGTCCTCTCGTAAGGTTGGAGTGCCCCAAGGGTCTATAATCCTTGATTATCTCCTCTATCTACACTCATCTGTTAATAATTCCATCTAGTTGCATGGCTTTACATACCATCTGTGTGTAGGTAACTCCCAAATTTATATCTCCAAGCTGTCCTCTCTTCCAAACTTGATACTCCTCTATTCTACTTGAGATTCCTAGTTAAATTGCAAATAGGCAAATAAGTTAACAAGCCCCAAATTTCCCTTTTATTCCAACATCTCACAACTCAAACTTGTTCCTCCCTCAAAATCTCAGTGAAGGGGAACTTCATCCTCCCAACTGCTCAAACCAAAACCCTTGGAGTCGTCCTTTATTTTCTTTCCCTCACATTCTACACCCAATCTCTTAGGAAGTCCTGTTGGCGCTAACTTCAAGATATTCTCCTGTAAATCAGGTAGTATCTCATCTATGTTTAAAAGCCTGTAGAGGCTCTCAGTTTACTACTGAGAGTAAAGATCAAGGTCAAGGGGTAAAGGTCAAGTCCTTACATTGGCCTGTTCCCACCCCACCTTTGCATCCCTCTGATCTTTCCTACTCCTCTCCTCCCTGCTGATCCCACTCTGCTCTGGCCACACTGGCCTCTTAGCTACAAGTTACATCTTCCAGGCAGACTCCCACCCCAGAGCCTCTACCTGGAACAC